ACATTATACCTTATATTTATTATAGGGAGCGAAATAGAAAACAAGCGGCTGATAATGTCAAAATTAGAAGAATATTTCTGCACAATATTTATACAAAATAAAACTTTTGAATGTAAATCTCTGTTGCATCAAAACTGATATAAACAAACTTTTATTATGCTATATTGACGGTACTATTATCCGTCGGACATTTTGCTCTAGCCAAAAGATATAAAAAAAATATTTAAAAAAAACTAAAGAAAAAATCTGAGGTGTGGGGGGGGGGGGGTAGTCGGTGAGAAAAATATCAACTTACGTCCAACTTTTCTGTCTCTCCTGCCCCCGCCCACCCCCCTCTCTCTCCCTCTCTCTCTCTCTTTCTATGTCGTTTTCCATCTTCATCTTTCATAATGTTGTTACTATTCCGCCATTTACTTGTATGCTGGCATCATCCCTTCCTTGAGATTAATTATTATAACATATCCCTGATGTTATACGTCAGACATTATACTTTAGCGAAAAGATATAATCAAACAAAAAAGAGACGAACATGAAAGAAACAAAATCAGAGCTGGAGGGGGGGGGGGGGGGGGATCGGACATAACTTTATATCTCCCCCTCTTTCTCAAATAATTTATATCCCTGTCACATATACCCCCCCCCTCACATATACCTTATATTAGTATAGGGAACGAAATAGGGAACGCTATAGAGAATGAGCGGCTGATAAAGTCGAAATGAGAAGAATATTACTGTCCTATACTTATAAAAAGTAAAACTTTTGAATGTAAATCTCTGTTGCATTAAACTGCTGTACAAAAATGTTTAGTATATATATTGACGTTACTATTATACGTAGGACGTCATACTTTAGCCAAAAAATATAAAACAAAAAAAAGAGACAAACTAAATAATAAATCTGAGCTTGTTGTATGGAGGGGGAGGGGGGTCGGTGATAAAAAATATCATAATAATAAATCCAAAATACACCTGATCAAAACTCGTTATCGGAGACTAAATCGAGTACAGCATCGCGAGCCTTATCAAAGTTGAATAGAACTTTTTTCGCAGTCGCGCCATCTTGCTTTAGACTTATAATACTGCTTGTATTGTTGTTGACAATAGAGAGTTGACCTTGGCTTTTCCTTTCAAGTGCAGTGAAGTGCATTGTTCCGCGCGTGCCATTATATGCTTTGGTTATAAGCTTTGCACTGCTCCCAATCGAAATACCAGCAGAATTAGTATTCTGTGCATGGAAGGTCTCAGCGAAAGTCAATATCTCTGGGACAGACATCACGGAGCTGCATACGCTGCTGTACGAATTTCATGTGAGAGAAAAACTTGACATGCTTATGAAAAAGTACAATTATAATGAATAATATTAAAGTAAACAAAACAGGAGTAATGGATAATGATAGCATATACTTTGGATAAACCCTCAAATACACTAGTTTAGTGAATTAATGGCAGGGAAAGGCAATTTTAGGGTTCTAGGACAATTACCCCCTGGGCAATCACCCCCCGGAAATTTACCCCCGGAAAACTACCCCCGAAGGACAATTACCCCCGGAAAATTACCCCGGGAGAATAACCCCCCGAGGACAACTACCCCCAAGGACAATAACCCCCCGGAAAATTACCCCCGGAGAATTACCCCCCGAGGACATCTACCCCCGAGGACAATTCCCCCCCGGAAAATTACCCCCCGGACAAACCCCCCGAGGGACAACTACCCCCCGGAAAATTACCCCCCGGACAAATACCCCCGAGGACAACTACCCCCCGAGGACAACTACCCCGAGGACAATTACCCCCGAGGACAATTACCCCCCGAGGACAACTACCCCCGAGGACAATTACCCCCGAGGACAACTACCCCCCGTGGACAATCAGGATTCAATAGCAAAAGACGATTGATACATTGAGAGATGGCTACGAGCCTATAAGACCCCCTCATGAACCATATTCGCTCAAATACTAGCACGTTGTCTTCCTCGTTACTAAACATTTCCCTTTAATACATACAAGTTATACAACGGCAATGCGGCTGCTGATTTCCACGAAGGATGTAAGTTTTAGGTAATTGTCAATCGCTTCTCAAAATGCATAGAAATACATTTCTCTTGAGCAGCGTTATTTCAACTTTTGAGTCATGGTACCCTCTTAAAAAATGAAAAGTTTCTCCCAAATCCCAAATTCTTCACAGACTATCTATTTTGCATGACTCAGGCATTCGCCAAGTGCTATGTTCATAGGTGTCGATCACGGGGGGGGGGGGGGGGGGGGGGGGGGGGGGGGGGGGGGGGGGGGGGGGGGAGGGGGGGGGGGGAGGGGGGGGGGATGGGGGGATATATCCCCCCCCCAAATATTTCAGGTGGGGGGGGGGGGTGGCCTGTCCAATCATCCCCCCCAACAATTCACCATCACAAAAAAATGAAGAGAAACATTAATGATGAGAGCCCGATGAGAGTAGTTAATGGTTATTACTCGCAAGATGACCATCAATATACACATTTTGCTATCTCATTTTCATAATACATACGTAAATGAGACATCCGTATATGAGACATGAATAAATTGAATTCTCGCTCATACGGCTTCATCAGGAATTGATCAATTTATTCAATCAACAGCATCATAGAAATGCAGTGCGCCAAATGCAAAGCGGCAGCGTAAAAAGCAACGAGCTAAATATCAAGCGCGAAGCGCAAAAGTGCAAAAAGAAGTAAAGAGTGGGAGAGACAGAGAGGATACAGGCGCGTATACAGGCGCGCGTAAAAAACTCCGGCCCAAAAAAGAGAGAGAGAGAGAGAAAGAAAAAAAGGAAGAGGACGTAGGAAGAAAAAAGATTAAGAGTCAAGAACGGTACAACGAATCGTCATCTTTCTCTTATAATGTAATGAAACGTCGAAGTTTCGCGCGGGAGGGGGGGTGGGGAACTGAATTCAGACAAGGATTAAGAGTCGAGAATGGTACAACGAATCGTCTTCTTTCTTTAGTATCTTAATGAAACGTCAAAGCTTTCGCGCTTCGCGCGGGAGGGGGGGAACTGAAATCAGACAAGGATTAAGAGTCGAGAATGGTACAACGAATCGTCTTCTTTCTTTCTCAATTTAATGAAATGTCAGAGCTTCCGCGCTACGCGCGGAGGAAGGGGAACTTTATTCAAACAAGGATTAAGAGTCGAAAACGGTACAACGAATCGTCTTCTTCTCTTATAATTTAATTAAAGGTCAAAAGAAATTGAATTTAGACAAGGATTAAGAGTCGAGAACGGTACAACGAATCGTCTTCTTTCTCTAATAATTAAATGAAACATCAAAGCTTCCGCGCTTCGCGTGGGACGGGGAAAACCCCCTCCCTGCAGCCACCCCCTTTCGGGAGCGCGCTTCGCATGCTCACTACCGCCCTAAAATAAAATCCTTGCTACGCGCTTGAGAGGATAATAACCCAAGTTGCAAGCCCACATGGGTCCCATATTCTCTGAAATGTTATCTTGATTGAGGGTGACTTGAAAAAACTAATAACTTGTAAGGAGGGGGTGCAACCTGCCACACACTTCTACCTCTTGGTTGCTTTGATCCATTGCCGAAATTATTTTGGCACCTATCACCCCCCCCCCAACCACGGATAAAAATCGACACCGTTGTGACCAACAATGACGGTCGCATACTACCGGGTACCCATTTAACACCTGGGTGGAGAGTAGAAAGTTCAGGTTAATATCTTGAAAAAGGATATTAGTGCCGGTGTCGTGATTCGAACCCTCGACCTGCGCATATCATACTCCCGCATGACAACATAAATATATAGATAACGTGAAGAAAACCTTAATTTCGGATCATGGTCGAGGGCCCATTATACAAAGACAAATACACGATCAGCTTAAAAAGTGACAGATGATGCATAAATGAAATATTACATCCTAATTTCTTTGTTTTGCCATTTTGTTGGTGAGAGAGGCTGTAAGGCGTACTCATCTGCGCGCAATGTATTATTGAATTTCTTTAAAAAAATGTAATTTCTGTTATTTACTCGGTAGCAAAACTTCGGGGGAATTGGGCAACTCCCACCCCCCCCCCCCCCCATCGAAGTGAATAACTTGAAAACACTAAAATGAACTTCACAAATAACATAGAAATTGAAAGTTTATGAAATTTTCTATAAAGAGCAATTTGGAGAGAAGCTCGCATTATTTGTCACAGTGTTACAAATCCTCGGGGGTGATTGTCATCGGGGATAGTTGTCCTCGGAAGAGGGGGGTAGTTGTACTTGGGGGGAATTGTCCTCGGGGGTAATTGTCCTCGGGGGTAGTTGTCCTCGGGGGGTAATTGTCCTCGGGGGTAGTTGTCCTCGGGGGGTAGTTGTCCTCGGGGGGTAATTGTCCTCGGGGGTAGTTGTCCTCGGGGGGTAATTGTCCTCGGGGGTAGTTGTCCTCGGGGGGTAATTGTCCTCGGGGGGTAGTTGTCCTCGGGGGTAATTTTCCGGGGGGTAATTGTCCTTGGGGGGTAATTGTCCTCGGAGGGTAATTCTCCGGGGGGTAATTTTCTGGGGGGTAATTGTCCTTGGGGGGTAATTGTCCTCGGGGGGTAATTCTCCGGGGGGTAATTTTCTGGGGGGTAATTGTCCGTGGGGGGTAGTTTTCCGGGTGGTAATTTTCCAGGGATTGCCCAGGGGGTAATTGTCCTGATACGCAATTTTAGGCTTGTAAAGACGTCATTTACCTGCCTATTATGGGAACCTAGTATACCAGGTTCCCGTCTGTGAGTGGGCTCCACGGGAGCCTGGTATACCAGGTTCCCGGAAGGAACGGGTTAACCCCATTTTGTAAACGTATATCTTTGATAAAAAATCTAACATAACATACATGTATATATTACTGAATTCCAGTAGAAGTGACCAGCTAATTTCAAAAGACCTTTACTCTATCTTTTTCCTATTTTCTCTTTTTAGGTCCTGTTTAATACTTGCTTTGGCATTGTAAGACATGGGAGAAAACCAGTCTTGTTGTGGCAAACTCCATCAAAGTGTTAACCCAGAATGGAGAATGTCAGATTGATCTGTGCTTGGGAGACATCACAAAACTCAAAAGAAAGGATAAAGTTGATGTCATTGTGTTTCTGCTTTCCAGGGTAAGTTTAATTTAGGGGAGATGTGTCTTCGTCACACCGCCAAGCCGTATCAAACAGACGCCAACCTGACTGATTCTTGGCTATAAGACGTAATGCAGGAATTTGTTTGGTCTGTTGTTGCTCTGGCGTTCGTCTCATTGACTGTAATGGTAATAGGTTTTTTTTTATAGCACACACATCTGTCAGACTAGGCACTCCTGCATGGTGCTCCAAAAGTATTACCCTGCTTTAGCATGGCACTCTAGCATTTTAAAGAATTAATTCCTGACATGGTAACCATTTATCTGTCCTGGGTAGAGTGAAGCAAAAGTAGATGAATGACTTGCCTAAGGACGTGCAGCAGCAGGGATATCAGTAAGATACTTGCTGACAGCGTGCTTATACATGTAGAAGTAAATATAGGAGTAAAAAAAAAAGTATACAGGACAAGCTGTTGGTAAAACTACCTCACACTAAATCAAAGAACCTGTTTGAGATTGCCAGTCAGACATGCCGCTACAAGACATTGGAATAATTTACCATTAGACATACATGTACATGTAAGAGAAAAGGCATCTTCAGAGTTTGTTTTAAGACCCACTTGTTTTTGTCTCGCCTGCGTAGCAAAGAGCGAGACATAGCCGCCGCTTTTCTGGTGACGGCGACGGCGGCGGCGTCAACATAAAAAAACTTAACCTAAGGTTAAGTTTTTGAATTTTTGATATAATTTTTAAAGTATAAGTTCTTAGTCAATGAAACTTTGACTTTAGGGTAATCAAGTATCCCCAATTATGTGAGTAGAATTTCAGATCACAAAGTCAAGGTCAAAGGTCATTTCAGGTCAACAGACTTGGACTATGTTGTAGCATCATCATCGAAAACTTAACCTAAGGTTAACTTTTGAATTTTTGATATAATTTTGAAAGTATAAGTTCTTAGTCATTGAAACTTGAACTATAGGGTCATCAAGTCTCCCCAATCATGTGAGTAGAATTTCAGGCCACTGAGTTAAGGTCAAAGGTCAAAGGTCATTTAAGGTCAACAAACTTAGACTTTGTTGTGGCACTGATCAACAAGATTTTCAAAATGCTTCATCTTTGTTATTTTTCAACCGATTTTGATTCTGATTGTTTCATATGATAGGGCTAGGAGGGGGATTTAAAATTTCTACACAGAATTGTGAAATTCATTATCTATGCTAATTTATGCAAATTTATTCGAAATCACAAAAAAGGCTTCTTCTCCTTCATTTCTCGACCGATTTTGATTTGGTTTGCTTTATATCGTAGAGCTAACTTTGGTACACTAAACTTCTACACAGAATTTTGAAATTGTTCTCCATTAATTAATTATGGTAATTTATGCAAATTTATTCCAAAAATAACAAAAATTGCTTCTTTTCCCTCATTTCTTGACTGATTTTGATTTGGTTTGCCTTATCTGGTAGAGCCAAATTTTGAACACTAAACTTCTATACAGAATTGTGAGATTTTGCTCCATTGATTATTTATGGTACTTTATGCAAATGAAATGAAATTATGTCCCTTCCAGGGCATCAAAGTTTTATTTTTTGATCAGTTCAAAAGTGTACCACATCAAATTTACGATATTTGTTGTTGCGAGATGCGGATGAGCGCTACGTCATTGACGTTCTGGTTTATCATATTGAATTGCGTTATGCAGGCGAGACCGCCGAGAGCGTTTCCCTTGTTTTTAGAAGCCTCCCAATAAATTTTGGTTATGTGTCTGCAAATTAGCTGTATGAGGAGTTTTTCACCATAGCGCAGTAGAGTATGTTTACATAAATAGCTGTGCCACATAATACATGTACATGTGTATTTGTACATGCATGTAGTCTGTAGATGTGAAATTCTCCTACATGCCAAATTATTCCCTGCCTTTCCAGCTGCAAGTTCTTAGAGAGTGCACTTCTAAATGTTTTTACATCTACCACTGTAGTTCCATTAAATTTGTGATAGTTGATATGGTATAAAGATTTACTGAATTACTACATAGAAGCCCGGCCACAATCCAATTACAAAAAATGAATCAAAGCACTTAGCATTGTACAGCAGTGGCGGATCCAGGGGCAGGCAAAAAAAAATGTGTAAAAACACGTCATTTTTTAGCTTTTTTGGGGGATGACCCCCCCCCCCCCCCCCCCCCCCCCCCCCCCCCCCCCCCCCCCCCCCCCCCCCCCCCCCACTGAGCGACTTTTCGGCCGGCAGGATTTTCAAATTTTCGGGAGCAAAAAAAAAAAAAAAATTGGGCCCCCTCCCCTAAGAAATCCTGGATCCGCGCCTGTTGTACAGTCAAACCTGTCTATAGCGACCGCCCAAGGGAAACACAAAAAGTGATCTTTGTAGACAGGTGGTCACTAAAGCAGGTTTGACTGTATTACTACCCAGGTCATTATTTTCTCTGAGCTGAGTCTCTTCTTCATTACGATTCAACCTTAGGTGACTATTCCGCCACACCTACGTCCGTCATTGGAGCCCTGACGAGGACCTTAGACATAAGTGTACGTAATCTGGCTAGGGATAAAGAGGAAGACCTTCGAAAGCTCTACTCATGCTGGTGGTCTAAACCTCTTCCAAACAAGCAACCCTACAAGAGACTTCTCTGTTTTGAAACAAGAAGGTAAAGAAGGAAATGAAAATAACACTTGTGATGAATGATGATCAAATAACAGCGTAATAAAAATTATCATGGTAATAATGGTATTGCGATATATTGATGATAGTACACGATTCTATAGTATTGGGTTAATTGTGATTGAGTTTTAGGTTTAGTGTAGGGATATTATTTGGGGTCATTTGTAGCGTTAATTACAGCGTTGCCATTTTGATTTGACTCAGTAGAATACTAGACAGTAGACAATATAGACATTTGTTGTAAGGAATAGAACAATTGTTGCACAAGCGCTCATTGGTCATCGCACAACCCTGCAAGTATTTACAAAATCATATTGCTGTAAATAGACAAGATCCCCATTTAATATACTGCATGCCTAAAAAGTGTCCCAAGTAGATGAATAAACATGTAAATCCATTAGTAATACAGAAAGCTCTCTCATCATCTAGGCAGGAAATTGTCTAGAAACTAACTGTCAACAACAGGAAGCTACTATTTCTCCTCTCCATTTGAGTAAAGTGTATATTTATAATATACCCTGTGTATACCATAATAGAGATGTTTATGTACATGTACATAACACATTTATTACAAAGTACAGGTCATTTTTGTAATGTACATTTAATGCATATCTTTGCTAAGTGCCTTGTTACAGATTATTTAATTCACCTGTTATGAATAATTTTATTTCAATAGTCAGAAATCAGAATGAAAATTACATACATTATAATGTGTTTTAAAGTAGGGCAAGCCATAATGCTTGTCCTACCTAGCAACAACTAGTGGTTCAAGAGTTGCTCAGGACCTTAAATTTCAATCATCTCAATTCATTGTTTGAATTTCAGGCTGTCAGGAAATGTGTACCACACTTTACCTCCCAATCCAATACTATATGGTACCAGCATTTATTTGTTTTACGTGGAATAGGGCACTTGAAATATTGAAAAGCTTCAGGTTATCAAGAAAATTAAAATCTCCTACTTATCTCAGTTTGGAGTATTTACATTACATTAATTTCATTAATTTATATCATTCTCAATATTTTCATTATTCTCATTATTTACATTATTCTCAATATTTACATCATTCTCATTATTTACATTATTCTCATTATTTACATTATTCTCATTATTTACTTTATTCTCATTATTTACATTAGTCTCATTATTTACATTATTCTCAATATTTACATCATTCTCATTATTTACATCATTCTCATTATTTACATTAATTTCATTAATTTACATCATTCTCAATATTTTCATTATTCTCATTATTTACATTATTCTCAATATTACATCATTCTCATTATTTACATTATTTTCATTATTTACATTATTCTCATTATTTACATTAGTCTCATTATTTACATTATTCTCAATATTCAAGTATCAAGTATCAAGTTTATTTGTCTTCCAGAAAACACATGTGACAAAATATAATAGAGTATAATCATAACAGTACAATGTAGAATAAACGAAGATGAGGAGACCTTGGTTGAAGCACAGCGTGTTAAGTTAAGGCCCCCTCATATGATGTGACAGAGATAACTTATTCATGAATACAACAACAAATATGGAATATATAAAACTATTTACAAAATACTCAGAGAACAACTACCCAACGATGCATCGACCACAGCATGGATGACTACAACAAGTATACTCGAAGATGCGCACATCCCCATCACACCGGGTGAGCTAAGAAGCTCACCGTGTGTGTGAAAATATGTAACATATGTGCAAAAAACCAACCCACCCATTAGGGCGATCTAATATGGACAAACCCAAGCTGACACCAAGTCGAGACATCAATGAGTTATTGCTCTCTGAGTGCAGAGGTCAAGTAGGAATGGTATATGTACAGATGGGAAAGAAGAAGAAAAAAGAAAAGGGATAAAGGGGGTTATGTCAAAGTCAAGAATTAACGAAAAAAAGATCAAGAGTAGAGTTAAATATGCTACAGTACACAAAAAATAAAGCTTGATAACACATTCATGTGTCATCCAAATACTTGTGAAGAAAATATGACTTAAGGCTACGTTTAAAAGCTGAGATACTTGAAGCATTTGTTATAGTAGTATCAAGTGAATTCCAGAACCTGGGGCCAGTGGACATTAGTGTATTCAAAGTGAAGGTTGTCCTTGCATATGGCGAATGGAGAACAGAAGCCTGTCTAGTATTATAGGTGTGAATTTGGTTATTTCTTCTAAAGATTTGAGCAAGGGCAGGAGGGTGGTCCCCAGAGTGAATGCTAAACATGAGCATTCCAAGTTGCATTGAATAGAGATCTTCTAGTTTTAGGATACTGTTTTCATAATAAAGTAGATTTGTATGTGCACGATAATTCGCTTTACAAATTATTCTACATTACATTTTACATTACATCATTGTCATTACATTATTTCTATAACATTCACATGTTAATGATAATTAATATTATTTATGAACTTTGCCATGTATTGAATTGTTTATTTCCTTTCTTTCCTGCAAGCTTTGGATCAGCGGGTCGCCCTCAGGAGCTAGTAGCTAATGTCTTCCGTTGCTTGGTTCCTATTCTCAACAATCAAGATGGAACCGTCATTACTCCACTGCTTAATACAGGAGATCAGGTGTGTATACAGGGTGCACCTTTTTTATACCTAACCTAGCCATCCTACCGCTGCATTTGATTGGCTCAATAGGAACCTATACGTCATGCGCTAGTCATAAATATTGATGATATGCACGCACACAGAATCTGATGCAATAAGTGCGTAGCTATGTTTACTTAAAATAAATGACATTGCGAGAAAATTGGGAGGCTTACTGTAAAGGAATGACTATCCAAGTCATAACGTGTCCATGATCATTGCGACATACGGGTTAGTCCAGATTTAATTTTGATCTCCACCACACCGTACCAATTAACACAAATATTCATACATGTATATTCAAATATTAATATACATCGCTAGGGTGGCTAGGTTAGGTTTTAAAATGTTGTATATAGGGTGACCCATAAGAAAGCGGCCTAAGCATACATGTATTTCACTGGTACCAGTAAATGAGGAATAATTTGATAAGAAAAATTATACTAATATCTAAAGTCCTTTAAAAACTTTCTTAACCCCTGTTGTTATAACAATAAATTATTCATATCTTGTAAACTGAATGAAATGCATTTCATCATCTGCCAGGTTCAGTACTTTAATAAACCATCCAATCAATCAAGCATTATTGTTATAACAGAATCTTGTTACAAGGTCATTTTTGCAGTCCCAATTTGCAGAATACCGGTATATAGTATTTGTAACAGTGATATAACAAAGTTTCACTTTATCAACTTATCAAGCAATTTTGTTCTATGGACCCAAGGGGCTCAAGGGTGAAAATGTGCGCTACATAAATATCCAATATTATTATTATTCTTATTATTATTATAACAAGAGTCCACTGTAATACATCCAGCAAATCAGTAAAATGCATGGACATGAGATTCAAGTACATTCAAACCTGTCTACAGCGACCGCCGAAGGGAAACAAATAAAGGGGTCTTGTAGACTGGTTCCTTTAGTAAATGTTTCAATGAGAAACCATTTTCAAGGGAAAGAAAAACTGTGGTCCTTGTAGACGGGTGGTCTGTGTAGACGGGTAGTCTTTGGTGGTCACTAAAGCAGGTTTGACTGTAGTATCATTTGTGTTTCCATACTCTAACTGTGTCTTGTCCGTAGGGTTACGGTGAGGTGAGTATGATGAAGGGTATGGTGGAGGCTGCGGTGAAGTGGATGAAAGCAGGACTTCCTCTCCGAATCCTCAAACTAGTCCTCTATGCCAAGGTGATCGATGGTGACCTACAGGGCCATTCACTCAGACGATTCTCAGAAGTTCTCAAGACGTTTACTGAGCTCAAGGAACGCTATGAGATGCAGCTTCTCTTACCTAAGGTATGATTCATCCTCCCCAGGGAGTAGAAAATGTGCATACATTGTGTTGCGGGTAAGCCTGAAACCGAAAAGGGTAATAATAATATCTGCTGCGCCTAGAAATAAAGTATTAGGTGCATTATAAATGTGAGCTATTATTATTACTATTATCATTCATCTCTTTGTGATATCTTTCCTTTCTTCGGAGCCCATTGTGAATTATCAAAAAATTAGACCTGTATTTCTGTTAGAACTAAAGGTAATGCAAATAACTGTTAGTTGTCACTCATTATAGAGTTTTGCAGATTAAGCAAACAGTGTTTTTGTCTTGTTTGAGACCTGATTCTGATTGTCTAGATTTGAGTTCCATGTAGGTTAAAAGGCTTAATGCTTGTAGGTTTAGTGCATGGGAGGGGAGGGGGAGGGGACAGGAAGGTTAAAGATAAAGTTGAGTTCTGGTCATGTGATTGCATTGTGAAAGAAACGGTGTGGAATCTATCAGAAAAGGTTGATCATCTAGTATATAAGTATTTGTGTGTATTGCAAGGTTCTGGAATCATCAAAATGATAAGGAATTTGGCCAAATCTTGGCAAAGTTACAAGCACTGTACACAGAATTATGTATATGGGACTACACAAGCACATGGCGAAAAAAACCTACCCCCCGATTTTTACGATGTTTCATGTCATGTTTAGAATATGAAGGCATTTGAAGAGCCATGCTTTTCAGGAAACATGTTTAATCTGATGTTCTTCCACCCTTGCATAATAACAATGATAACGCTCGATCACAATTAGTTTTTACCTCTTCCCAGAACTCAACCTTCTCTTTAAGCTTCTTTGACTTGAAACTATCACTTGGATGTATGATGGCTTCTGTTTCACAACGGCTTACCACACCTTCCTATCTTCTGTTAGCCTAGTGGCTTTAGTCAGGGAGTCAAGTTGTCTGTTGTTGCAGTCCGCCTTGATTGACTTTAAATCAGCAACAATTCATAAATCTTAAAAAAACATCTTGAATTGCCCAACTCAATAGAACTTGTAAAATATGTGCTTCATTTTTTTCAGGCTGTGCCTTTGGAGTTTGATGTTTATCTGTCATTCAGTGAGGAGGATAAAGAGGTAGCTAAGGTGATCAGAGAGAAGCTGTCTGGAGCTAAGGATGGGGTGCGTATCTATGACAGCTCTCACCAGGGTATTAATAAAGACACTGTGTTTCAAGAAGATATGTACTCCATCATGATGAAGAGTGCCAGGGTAGTCACAGGTCAGTTCAATTTGCACTTAAAGGGACTTGTTAACATTGTTGAAGGTTGATGAAAAAATTGTGTAGTTTTTGTATGAAATGTTACTTATTATATTCCTTCTACTGTACTAACCCTCCAACAGGCAAAACATTCTGGTTTTCTATGAAGGTGTCACTGTGCAACACCTTCTAACAGTGATTAACAGTAAATTCTACCAATCATTTTTGAATTTTCCCAACGTTTTTCCTTGACAGTAAGTCATAAAACAGGCTATAAAATTTGTCAACACTTAAATGTCTGGAATGTATATAGAGCCAATTCATTGCTTTGTGACGATTAACATTCACCTAAAATGTAATTAATTTGTAATAATATAGTTGGGAGAATTAAGGAATTGATCAGATCAGTTTTTCCCAATTTTTATCGTTAATAATGGTCCATTTTCACTCAAACTTTCAGATTATCTTTAATTGTACATCTAGCATTGAAGTAACTACATTAGCACCATTTGTTCTCATCTGAACAATGTTACTATGTCCCTTTAATTACCAGGCACCCATTTACACTGTGGTAGAGAATGGCAAATGTGGATTAATGTCTTACCAAAGTTCATTAGTTCCGGGCTGGGCTTGGAACCCTCAGCCCCTGTATTGAGAGTCAAGTGAATGAACCACTATACCATGACACCTCCTTAAAAAAAAAGCTTCGAAAATGCTGCTGTGAAAAGAAATGAGATAAATGTGATTCTCTTTTGTATAAAACACAAATCAGGAGTATATGTAGAGGCCATCATGGTGCACATGAACGGTTTTATACCAACAACAAGGCCTTTTTAGTATACCAGTAACTTGATTTCTTCAGTGATGCACTTTTTGATTTGGTTTTATTGCTTTATACCTGAATGGTTCTTGAGTGTGATAGAGGTGTTTCCTTCCCTTAGTACTGATGTAATATTAGAAGATGATAATGATTCTGTTACAGTGTACATTTGTGTGTTGTTCATCAATCTCAACTCAAATTGTTTTTGAATTTTGTATATGCTGTAATTTGATCATGTACTGGTATACCTTAACGTGCCCTGAGTATAACTTTGTATCAGCACATAATCAATCATCAGTACCATTATATTTATATCTTACCGGTATCCGGAATGCTGTTGCTTGTATTGATGGTCATGATGTTTCCTATCGGTACAAGCCTGTGATTACTTGGTACATGCATGTATGTGAGGATATTATGATGAAGTGGTTGCTTTCTAGTATTCTTGTTCTATTATCTGTTGTCAATTACAATCCAATTCAGTATGCCATTGAAAATGTAAAGAGATTAGCTGAAGTTGACTTATTTCTCTATTTGTGTGCAGTGTTGAGCCCAAACTACCTCAGGAACAAGGCATGCATTGAGCAGTACAACATCGCTCTGTGCTGCAACCGAAGAGCTCTACGTGATATGCTTGCTCCTATCTATGTGGACTCAGTGGAGATGATGCCAACGTACATGGGTCTTGTGCAGTACGTCGACTGCAGGTTTGTAGCTTATAATAGTATTGGACTGTATAGAGTCCCAAAGCTGTGACATCATAAAAAATCTACTTTTAGAATTTCTCAAATTGTTCTTCATTTTCCGAAAGACCATCAAAAAATAAATGTCCAAGTGTCGAAAACAAATTGAATATGTTAAGTATTGGATAAGATATGACCATTTGGATGAATAGATTTCCTATATGAACTCAGTGTTATATATTGCTCTGGTTCGTAATGATATAAACCATAGCAATATAACACTAAATTCCTGTAGGAAATCTATTGATTTAGATGGTCATATCTCACCCAATACTTAACATATTCAATTTGTTTTCGACATTTGGACATTAGTTTTTAAGCTCTTTCGGAAAATGAAGAAAAAGTTGAGAAATTCTCAAAATAGATTTTTTGATGACGTCATAATTCACCACTCTATATCATGGTATACCGGTAACTCAATCATCCTTTCCCATTTGATTTCATTGAAATATTTGAAATGTAACCAAAGTTTATTCCCCTTTCTAAACAGTAACTTCCTTAATTCCAAAGTACTTGCGGTTATATAAATACTAGTAGTTCATCAAAAACCTGATGTACGGGGGAAAGGATAGGGGACATACATATTTTATGAGTTTATGATGGCTCTATAAAAATCAAAAGAAAACATATTCATTCATTTTTCATCAAATAAGAAAGAAATCTCTTTACTGTATTGTGTGTATAATTATACTGTGATGTTCTTTATTTGCTATTTTCAATTACCGTAGACCTTTTAAATTGTATAGTGGTAGTTGATGATATTAATAATATTCTGCTTTTATATAGTGCATCATACATCTACGATGTCTCTAAGCGCTTTTCTATTACCCCGGTCATTGGATTCAGTGCTTGCCCGCACACACTGTGTGCACAATCTCCTTGAAAATTCAGTTTCTTCAAAATAGTTGTAAGAAGTATTATAACCCAGGTGATGCATGAATAATTTTCATCCAGTAATAACTATGAAATCTTCCTCTTTTTCCTCCAGACCCCATGATCCTTCTAAGATAGGAGAAGCGTGTTCTCAGCTTACAGTCTCTCTCTCTGTGACCTTTCATACCGAGCTGAGAGTAGCAGAGTTTGACCCACTCCGCTATGATGTCTTCCTCTCATACTCCCATCGGGACACGGAGAAGGCCAACCGCTTTGTGGAAATGCTGCAGAAACTGGCTCCGGACTTGAAGCTTTTCTTTGATGTGCAGGAACTGAAGACAGGTAGGGATCTCAATTCACTTCTCTTTCTCAAGCTGCATCCTGTTTTATGTAACTCCTTTCATCTGGGTTCTCAGTTCTCAGTCAAGCGACTAACATTAAAGGCATCGTTTAACAATGTCAAATCTGAGAAACATGGCCCTACATGTTATCAGCGTCTGTGATATGGTGTAATATTGAAGCCCCCCCAAAAAATGCGCTTCAATATGATTATGAAGTACCTCAAAAAAAGTAAAAATCTTTGATTGGCCGGTTAAACTATACTCATTTCCCCAATAGACTGTAGTGTTATAAAAACTGTTGGGGAAAAAGGTTTTTTGAAATTTTGAATTCCAATCATAAATATTTTGATAATCAGACGGGCGATCGGCTTGTAAACATCATGGGATACCTGACTGACCTAAAGGTTTATAATTATGATAGCAGCATGAGCTAAATCCAGGATTTTGTTTAGAATCTGACACAAAGATACCCAATTCCTTTAAATATAATATTCTTGTCATCATAATCGTTTGTTTTGTTTTATGTTCTCACATGCAGGTAAATCTTGGCAGCGTACCCTGTACCACTCCATAGATGGGTCTCGTTGTATGCTAGCTCTCATATCAGAACCTTATCTCAAGTCAGCAGTCTGTCAGGAGGAATTTGCTCTTGCTCAGGCCAAACACTGCGCAAAGGTATCAACCCCACATGACTTTGTCACACAAAATATATTGTATCACTGGGCCACATCAGTTCTCAAAATTTCTCAAAAATCTTAAATTTGAAGTTGCTTATTGCCAGCACTGGAATGTTAGGGAGCGTTAGGAAAGTTTTTCTTTACAAAAATTAAAGCAACATAATGTATTAGGGGGGGGGGGGGAACTATGGCTAAAATATATACCGTATGTGTAAAATACTTCAAAATCAGAACAGGACCAATGTAAAAATAAGCTATAGTGAGAGTGTACATGATAATGGCAAGAAGAAAGCCATTTTGTATTCTTATTTTTAACCTTTAACTTAATATGATCAGTATTACGAAGTAAATCTTGTGTCACTGGTTTCCAAACTAGTTAACATATTGAAGAAATGCATTTAAACCTAATGTTGATATGTGACCAAAGAAGCACAAGGATCTAAGACAAAGTTACCGGATCCCTTAACCAAAGAACCGTCTTGAATTTCATTCCACTGCAGGGTAAGCAGCACCTTCAACTGATATCCATCTGCCTTGACGACCTGGACACCATCCAACCTGAATTCACTCACATCCCCATGGTCAAGGGTACACCGGATGTCTTTGATGACATGGTCAAGACTGTATGCCCAGCGGTCATTCAGTGGCTCAACGGAGAGAGGGTGGACCAGACAGAGACCATCAAGACTTTGTTTGATGATCAAAATGTAAGTTTTTTGTGTTGAAGCTCATCTTAAAGAGCTCATGCATGTAACTCTGTAATAAAGGGGGGGGGGGGGGGGGGGGGTCATCCGATATCATAGATGTACATGCACAGTGCAAGATTGTGTTTTCTGCCTCAGCCTTGTGATAGTGACTTCAGAAATGTCTTTGGGTATGTTTGACATCAAAGGGATGTCAGGGAACCCGTTTTAATTCAGTAATATTTATCCATATTTAGCCACCAAATAAAAGCAATTTTGAAATTAAAGACAAAATATGTTTCGTTGTTTATTGATTATGACAGACTTTTCTTGTTACACATTACTATTTGCAAGTATTTCTTGGTGTACTGTTGACCTATTAACATTTCATTAGGTTTACATTTCCCCCCTCCCATCTCATTATAGATTACAACTTTGTCAGCAGATGCAGAGATGGAAAAGTTCCGTCAGTCTCATTTCCAGAAGGAATTTGGAACTCAAGACAGTTTGATATCATCCAAGTCTCCTTTCCCTCCTAAGCTGAGTGACATCTTACCCGAGCCAGGGAAGGAGGTGAAAGATAAACGTCCCAAGTCTGCCTCAGACTGTGACCTCATCTTTAGTTACCATAGCGATGATGAGAAGTACGTCTCTTTCATTGTTAAAATCCTTCAGCTGAATGCTCCGTCTCTGAAAGTGAAGGCAGTCTGCAGCGATGAGAACAAACTGAGCGCCTTCGAACGAGCTCACTGCATTGTTCCCGTCCTCTCTCCCAACTATCTAGAAAGCCCGGAATGTGTTGAAGAGTTCCATATCGCCATCTGGAGGCAGAGGATCTCCAATCCCGAAGCAGGTGCGCTGCTACCGATCTGTGTCCATACCCTCCCTCAAAAGCCTACATACTTCCACCTGGTGCAGTCTGCAGTCAGTATGACGGATGGAATCTGGGCTCAGCTCTCTGGTCAACACAACTTTGGCTTGCCTCAGAAGATTGTAGATTTTAGCCTTGCAGCGGGGAAGACGCCGCTGTCCCAAGTCGATATGCTGGCTCTCTACATGGCTGCCTATTATATCCTCAAGAGGTTTGCCAAAGCAAGGTGAGACGGTTGTAACAAACAAATCATTCTACCGAAGCGTTGATTCAACATTCAAGCTCAAATAGATTTGAGTGAGGAGTATATGAATGCATTGTTGCAAGAAGTTAAAGCCACACTGTCCTACTTGTAGCTACTTGCTCCCTCTATAAACTATATAGAACACTTCCCTTATCGGTGCCTGTTGGTCCCCCATGATCCTCTTTTTCTTATGTTAATTGAGAGCTGAGTTAATGAGATAGCCACCTGTCAGTGACCTCGCTGTGTGGTCTAATCCCTTCTGGCTGAACTAGGACAGCCGGCCTTTAAGTATTTGGAGAAAATTAGCAATAGTGTAGGCTTGCATTTATGATTTTTCATATGCATTAATGCAGAATCCTTCATCATGTTTATTGTGAGAAATCATTCATCTTGGGAGATTTAAAGCAAGTATAACAAGTGCTCTTGTGCTATTGATTCTACTTTGCAACATAGGATTCTGATGTCATGGAAAAGGTCAGAAAATTTCCTGTTGACATGGATGCTTTTTTCCCCAAAATTAATAGAAAATGAGTGAAAATATGATATTTTTATCAGAATATGATGAAATTGAAAGGTATGATAACTTTTCCTCCACTCATTTTTAAGTAGAGGTGTTATGGTCAAGTGGATAAGTCACCGGACTTGTGGATCACAAGGTACAGGGTTTGTATCCCAGTCTGGCACAAATATCCTTTGGCAAGACGTTAATCTACGTTTGCCACTCTCTACCCATGTGTGAATGAATACCTGATATGCTTGAGCTGTAGTAACTTTGTTAACTCTGTTATAACCAGGGAAATGATTAAATAAACACCACAAGCATCACAGCTCGACTCATATTGGTGCTCTAATGAAACCATTAGTTGTTGTTATTATTATTATTATTGTTATTATTGTTTTCCCAGGAGTTGTAAAGAGGTGGAGTTTTCCATGAAGCCAGCGCTGTTTAACATCATGAAGCTCCAGGAACAGATCAAGCAGCTCACTCAACCTGATTACACAGATCAACTATGCAAGGTAGATATCTCTGCAGCTACAGTATGAGAGAGAACATGATTAACCCATAGCTTACTGGAACCGGGTAGTCCCTGTAGTAAGCCTATGGCAATGAATAAATTCAGTAATCAACGGGTTAAGACTCGTTCAGATATGACGCCGTAAATCACCATTTTGTTTAATAACATGTAAACGAATGGCAGCTGCAGATGAGTAGATCTGTGTTGTAACATACAGAAACGTGAAGCGTATTACACTTTACCTCATCATGACGTTGTTTACCGCTGCATATCTGAACAAAGCTTTATACATAATAGAATGTTAGAGAGCTTATCTAGTGGGAAAGTGTATTCTCTAACATACCCAGTCAAACCTGCTTTAGTAACCACCTGTCTAGAACAACCACATTTTTTGTTTCCCTTGAAAATGGTTTCTCATTGAAACGTGTACTGAAGGAACCTGTCTACAAAGACCCCCTGTCTTCAAAGACCACTTTTTGTGTTTCCCTTGGGCAGTCGCTATAGACAGGTTTGACTGTATTTTGAAAACGGCAAATGTGTGTATTTAAAGTTCCAATTAAACTTTCTATTTATTGAACCGAGTATGCCTTCAAGGTGTGGTGATGTGAGGGTACTTTTCTGCTGCAATCTAAATCACTTACCAATATGTGTGCTTCACTACCATATTCTTATCATGTTGTTATCATGTGAAAAGACAGTATAAGGAAGGATAGAGATATAAATGGTAATAAACATCAAATAAGTTTAAGTGTCAGTAGAGATCAACGTATCTTTCCTTTATAGCTCTTATATAATCGTATCTACTTTTCTCTTTGTGTGTGTTATCACTATATAGTATACATCTATGTTATGTTCATTTCATTTCTATTTTCAGACTGTGTTGGATCTCACAATCAAGTCTTAAGATTTCTCTACTCTTGTAAGAACTATTTAAAACCATTAAATCTCTAATGCATAACTGCATGATAATATATTTTTGTTGTTGAAAATTGGCAGATACATGTATGTATGCATGGGCATATGATTTCAGCACATGGAAGGGTTGAATAATGATAATCCTTCATTCACTTCATTGTCTTTGTTTAGAAATTCTGTTCATTCGTTTTCTCTTTTTAATATATTATTTTTGTTTGGAGGGGTATAATGCGTTAAGAGTGTATCATTTTACAAGTACATCTTTTTATTTTGATACTTGCAAATGTATATGCATGCATGGGCATTTGAGTTAGCCAATAGAATGATTGGAATTATGATTTATTACATGATTATATGATTTATCTAATTCACTTGAATTCACTGATATTCCATGGAGCAGTTTCTTTAAAATGTACTTTCAGTACCCCTTTCCTTTCTCCAACAAACAATGATGTGTGGAAGCTTGTTACCTTGAGGTACAAAATGCCCCCCCCCCCCCCACCCCAGACAACACCTGCAAGGAAGCTAGCTGTGCATGTTGGGTTGCTTTTTTTTCCTTTCAATTATTTCACACCAACAAAGTATGTATAACAAAGTCTGTTTATATTTTATGCTGCAATCACTAATATTAAATCACTTCTGCAACCTTTACAGTCCTCATGTTTAGGTACACTTCATTGCAAAATACAAGCTTATATACACCTTTATAAATAAGATATTATGCCTTCAAGATACATGAACATAATTAGTTTTTACTGTTTTTTTAGTCCTTTTGGAGTAGTTGTTTAGTCCCCCCCCCCCCCCCTTCACATAAAATAGAATTAAGCCACGTTTCCCTGTTTGTAATGATTTCAACATCTGGTTTACTACGTTATTAGTCTAAGCGTGTGTGTCTCAATCCAATCAAGAATGTAATTAATATGACAGGATATCTCAGTAGACAGACAGTTTCAGTGAAGTGAACCCTCAGAAATGTTGTCCAAAGGTCCATGATTAAGACCCACGGTTAAGACCAACATGTCAGTTTCATGAAGTGTTGGTCTCTTGGGTCGTTAGTCTTAAGGGCTGTATCCCAAAATTGATCTTCGGTGGTGGTGGTGGTGATGGTGGTTATTTTACCTGACTGCTAAGAAAGCATAAATGCTGATGGCTTTAGGTCCTCTCCGAGGGACATGGTAATGAGGATTAATGCCTTACAAAAGGGCACTAGCGCATCGACTTGGTTTTGAACCCGGGTCACCAGATTACGAGACCACTGCTCTACTGACTGAGCTATCACGCCTCCTCACCTTTTGAATATATTCTTTTCCTGCATTTGAGGATGCATGAGTGCTCAGTAATGGAGTAGTGGTCATGTAACATGGAGGTGCAGGCTTTGAAACCAAGCTGATGTGTTAGTGCCATTGGTAAGGCATTAGTCCTCATTACCAAGTGCCTCATAGTTGGTCTCCTGGTTACCCACTTTTCTTTGATAGCAGTCAGGTAATCCACAACACCATTTGAAGGAAATATAAAGTGCTGATGACTTCTCTATTATTAAAAAAGAGGTGGATATCAGTCATTTTTTCTTACTGAATAATGAAATAAATAATCATATTTTAAATTTTGATTGTGTTGAGATATTGATTGCATTCTGTATTTTTTTCGTTTTTTTCAGACTCTTCTGGACATTCATTTTGATGACATTCCAGACAGTTGGAGAGAAGGAGGTCACTATCTGAGACCAAAAAAACCTGAAGACACAACCCCAGCCATCATGGCTCCTGTAGAGGGAGCAAGTGATTCTCAAACACACAATGCTTTGAATGAGAGAACTCAAGATTCCTCTGGTTAAGATAAGAGTGAGGTACAGGGAGAGAAAGCTCAACGTTCAGCTTCAGAAGAGGTTTCTCATGATACTGTCCAACAGATGGATCAGGACAATGACCTTAAGGCAGCCCAGGGACAGGACACAGCAGAGGGACAGGACGCAGCAGAGGGACAGGATTCAGAAGGGGGACAAGACTCAGAGGGGGGATGGGACTCAGATGGGGGACGAGACTCGGTAGGAAACAAGACGGATGCAGACAAGATGACTGGTAACCATGGTGATGAAGGAGGGGATGGACAGGTGGGAGGAAGTGAGGAATCCAAAGAGAAAACAGAGGATGAAGATGAGGACATCAGCAAAAGAAACAGAGCACCTCGCTCAGTTGCATGCGTTTGTTTATAATACTGCCAAAGGATGACAATGTATCATCACCTTCATGCTGGAATGCTCCCCAGGGAGTGGAGAATGGGCAAAGGCCTACTTTGGGTGTGCGGGTAAGCCTGAATCCGATGACCGGGGTAATAATATATCTGTAAAGCGCTTAGAGACATCATTGATGTATAAGGCGCTATATAAAAGCGGAATTTTATTATTATTAATGAATACCTTACAGATAGATTAGTATTGGATTTTGACCATTGATGAGATTATTCAAAGTATTTAGGTTTCAACCTGTGTGATCATTTTTGAAAGATCAGGCAAGAAACTGTCAAATTATTTAATAGGCCAACTCTTCCACTGGTTAAAGTACATGCTTAGTAAGAGTTGCCCCCTGCCAAAAAACAAAGAATTTAGTACAAAATGGAGAGGCATTCCCATGTGTCTTCTATGTTCTGTGCCTAATATCACTTTTATATTGTGTTTACCGTAAATGTATAACAGGGCTGTGTATGTGAAGAGTTGTGATTGTAAACTGGTGCGATTGATATTGATGGCAAATCCCTTTCCATGAGGTAGATGATTGTAAGTTTGAGTCAATTATAAATTTTACATACCCCCTGCTTACAAACATAGTGTGAACACAATTCTTGTTTAACATTTATTCAGTGATTATGTTTTGGTCCAGATACACTGTCATCTCTGCCATTCATATTCTGTAACATGCCAGTTTTAGAGCTTTACATACGGGTCGATTTGTGCAAAATGCAAATTCACAATCATAAAACAGTTTCCAATATTATATATTATATACCTCATTTTAAGATTCTTTACTAATCCTGTCTTCTGATTGGTTGAAAATGCAGTCATGTTCTTAACCATGCCCGCTCATTGACATTCATAGTCATTTTTCCCGGCTCCACCGGTTTATATCCATTTTTCATAGCACTTTTTCCATGGCTGTGAAACGTGACGTCATTTTGCTGCGATCCCCAACCATGCCCGCTAATTGAAATTCATAGTCATTTTTCCCGGCTCTACGGTTATATCCATTTTTCATAGCACTTTTTCCATGGCTGTGAAACGTGACGTCATTTTGCTGCGATCCCCATTTTGGTTTACGTGTTACCGTATAAGTTTCTTTTGTGCGATGAGATGGAAACCTAAATGGGTGAGTCAACATTTTCCCTTTTTTCGGTATATAAAATATATATTGACTGCTTTTAATATTCGAGGCATAGTTGTTTCTATAGGGTCTCGGGAAACTCACAACCTGCTATGACCCCGCGGCGCAAGCGCCTTGGGGTCATAGCAGGTTGTGAGTTTCCCTTGACCCTATAGAAACCACTATGCCTCTCAAAGCAGTCAATATATCCTTAATAATTCATATCTTTGAGTGCAATAGTGAATATATGCTCTGCATAAGATTAGGCAGGTTAAGTGGAGGTATCGTGGTATAGTTGTGCATTAACCAGACACTTAATCCAAGGGTTGAGGGTTTGAATCCCAGTCCGGTACTAATGCACTTCGTCATGTTTTAACGTCATACGCACCTTTAACCCTTACTGTACTGGGGGGGGGGGGGGGGGGGGGGGGGGGGGGGAAGGGGCCTGGGAGGCCCCCCCTCGACATTTTCAGAGATTGTTCCAGAACAAAAGAATACATTAGAAATAAAACAATAGATATAATAAGAAATAAAAAACAATAGAATACAAAAGAAAATAAATATTTGAAAATCGCAGCAAATTTGAATAAATTACATTATTAATCACATAAAAATAACTATTTTGTGTTAGAAAAGTTTCATATGAATAATTAGTTTCAATTAACATTCAAAAAGTGGAGTCTGACAATTTATGTAATGATTCTATTTCCCTGTATATTTCCAGATTTGATATTCATGAATGCATATTCATAATTTATGCAAATTAACCTATGCATTTTCAAATATCATGAAAAATATTGTAACCTCATGAATTTGAGATGAAGGAAACATTTATTCAATACATTTTCAACATTCTTCACAAGTCTACAGCCAAATAATGTAGATTTTTCTGTAAAATGCATAAAATTAGCATTTTGCATAATTAATTAGGCTATAAAGAAAAAACATTTGCATATTAGGAAAAAAATAATTATACCATCTTGTTCCTTACCTAAATATCTACAAACATGCAAATTTTTGTGTTCATCGGACTTCCGACGGCCGAGTTAATGGGGGGGGGGGGGGGGGCCTCCCAGGCCCCCCCCCCCCCCCCCCCCCCCCCCCCCCCCCCCCCCCCCCCCCCCAGTCACGAGGTGCTCAAAATAGCCCAGTACAGTAAGGGTTATTTAAATAGCCATGCATTATCATTTTTAGCTGTGTGTTATTAGTTCTGTGAAGTGTTCAAAAACAATCTTAAGAAATATCTGTTAATTTAGCTTTTAATTGATTACCATTACCTTTCATGTCTACCTTTCAAGTGTATGTATTATGTATTTTATCTTTTGCACAAGCTGTGCCTTGAGCATTTGATTGTCAAGTAGATTTGGCGCCATACAAATGTTATGTATTATTATTATTATTATTACTTTGTGAGTGGAAGTTTTTTGCATGGTAGTCATGTAGTGTCATTTGACCAATTAGATTTGCATACATTCCAGAACCTTTTTTTAAATAATATCAATTGTTTGGGTTAGCAGTGATTGTATGATGTCGTCTTTATGAATGAACCCGAGTATCAAAGTCTATTTCTATATTATCATACATTGTAGATATTATAAAGTGTAGCTTATTGTAGCAATATTTAGTCTTTCACAAGAGTAATATATTTTCATAAAATCTTTTTTATTGATGTCATTCTTTATTTTTCATATATATACTATACATGAAATATTGTCATTTCAAGCTATATTTGCTATCGTACAAGCATGTTTATTGAATTACTTTGAATCGGTTTACCCATTTACATAATCCATACGAGAAATTTTGATATAAAATCACATTTTTGGAAGAAATTGAACAAAATTATGCATATGTAAATGTATATATTGATATAGTTTTTATAATATAATGTAACCTATTGAGGTTAGTAATTCTTTTTTATACAATATACATGTTTCAAACCTGCAATCTGTATAAAAAATGGGCCAAATTTGGACATGATTTATGAAAAGATCAAGCAATATCAATGAATTGTTGTAAGCAATTGTTATTAAATACTTTGTGTTTAGACTGCAAACAATTGTTAATTTGTGTTTATTTGGGGAGTCACCTCTTTATTGTGTATGATGATCTGTACAGTATGTATCACTAGAAGTATACCCAAATATAGCAACTCCAAATTTATTTTCCTCGTTCCCAAACCTGGTGCAATGAGATTTTGACGCTTTTGAAAACAATGATTCTCGATCATCCATGGCAGCAAGGTTCTAAATAGAGCATCATTATAGACAGAGTAGGAGATATTCCTAACCATGAAATTCACTTCAAGGTCACATATAGAATATTTGAATATCTATCAAATTTGGGTATACTACTTTGTATGCACTGTGGAAAAAGTGAAAGAAAACAGTTTTGAATACCAGTAATGAGTAATGGCACTTGATGGTACATGTACATTCATTTTAAAGATTTAAAGAGGTTATAGGCTACATGAAGCAAGATAATTTTCTTAGTCTCAAAATACATGTACATGTAGTATGTTTTAATGCAGTACGTGTCACTGTATCAAAATGACATGAATATCCTGGAATGTGAAATGATATCTCTAATTAATGCTTTACAGTAAGTTCTTGATAGGTTGATGTAGTAACTTTCTCCCCAGCTGAAATTTGGTGAATTTTGTATCAATTTAAGTAAAGAACCAACAAGTCTGCAAGGTCATTCGATGTGAGGAAGCAACTAGAGGCTCATATACAATGGGTTTTTTGAGAAAAAAAAACTTGTTGATGTATCGTTTCCACTTTTTATTTAAAAAAAAAATTACTAAAATGTGCTACATGTACAATTTATGGACCTGTTTTGGAGTTGCACAAAAAGAAAGACAAGCTTTCAGTCCTAAAATAGTAGAAGATTTATTTATGTCAAATTTGGGAGGCATAAATCTTTCATTTAGTGGGTAAAGAGTGTTATCCTTACCGGTATTACAAAGTGAAACAAATCATCTGTTTGGAGCAGAAGGGCGTTAAGTCTGTGTTATACAGTGTTAAAGTATATACCCTTCTGACTCCAAACAGACAATGTATATTATCCATTCCCATTATTCCAGCTGAGTCACACACATGTAAAAATGGAAGAAAAACACTTCTAGGAGTCACTCTATTTCATTTAATCATTCAAATAGAAGATACATACATGATTGCATAATTTGTATTTGCGTTTCTATGAAAACGTGTGATAGCTACAACGCAGTTATTCAGACATATTATAAATCCACATCATGATCTAAATGGAGGCAGAACCGTAATAACCAATGTTAAAGGTAAAGACCAGTTATGGTCATGGGATTGCATTGTGAAAGAAACGTGGAATCGATCAGAAAAGGTTGATCATCTAGCATATAAGTATTGCTGTGTACTGCAAGGTTCTGGAATCATCAAAATGATAAGAAATATGGCCCATTCTTCAAAAAGTTACAAGCACTGTATACATAAAGATGTATATGGGACTGTATACACACGTGCGCGACACGTGCGTTTATCTCTCACAGACCATGTAGATAAACTAATTTACCAAATATCTCAATTAGTAGGCGGTTTCCCGGCAAAATTGTTATCATCATGTATTAGTCAAAAACATATTCATTCACATGATTGGTAATAAGAGCTTCCATTTCATTTTTTGAAATTGGGGCGTTTCAAATACTGGTCTTCACCTTTAAGACGTGAACAATTTCAAGCTAATCTTAGTTTTTCTGGTTATGGAATGAGAGAAGGTGGCTCCACTGGCTCGATCAGATCAACCCTGAATCACTTCTAATCAAGTTGTACATGGGCTGTTTGGAGCAGCAAATAGACTCTTGTTATAATTTGATATTATACATTTTATGAAGAGCACAATTCACAGACTGCCATAGAAGTAACATTGTACATGTGATCAGGCCGACCAGTGAGCTCAAATTCCTTCTATCTTTGCTCCTGCAGATACATGTATTATAGATTTTCTACCAAACTCATGCGGGAGACATCATTCATGTGTAGTCTTGAACATTCAGTGTCAGTTGATTCCATGAGAGGATTCAGAATCTATTTTGTATTGTTATAAAGACCCAAGAAAGCCTTCCAGCCTGGTAAAAGTAAAACCGTGTCTATCTCCTAACAAATTTATTCTACGCTTTTATAGTCAATTTTTTTTTGCTAAAAATGAAAAAAGAACAGAATACAATGACATCTAAAATACAAATTTCATTGAGAATAATTTGAACACACATCTATAAATATCTAAATTTCATATTTACTTCTAGTACTGATAATTAACAATGATATACCTTTCAAGACAAGGGTCTAGAATAATTTTCTTTTAAGAACTTCACACAAAACATATTCTATATGTTTGAGTGAAAATTAATTTAAATTGAGCTTGATTTAGTTACATAAATTTGTTAATTTGCAGGGTATGACGAGATTAACCACATTGTATTCCATAAATCAGTGCACTTAGCTGGGCTTTAAGTCCGACCTAAAGAACATCCTAAAAAAAACCTTAAAGGCAAGCATATTCTAGAAGTACAGCCATGCATGTATATACTTTAGGCAATTAAATGATTACATGTACGTGTTTATTATTGGAAACACATTTTTAAACAAAACGTCTTTAACATTTTCCCTCTTGATCAAGAACCAAGCAAAATAAGTATGCTTTTACAATGTGTACACAATTGGCAAGAACTAAATTCAATTCACTGACTGTCTATAAAATTGCAGCATTTAGTCTATTGATTCCATACCAGTGAAATGATATTCATAACATTTTTAAAATTCTTATACACAAGCAATTGAAATGTTATCTTTATCAATTATGCTAAAATATGTATAAAGGGTTTAATTGAAATTAAAATTACAATACAAATTTTGCTTTAGAAAGATATGAGTATGACACGCGTACTGATAACCCAAGTTCTGCAAATATATCTCTTAAAGAGTTAATAAACATAAATTTAAATTTCAGTTAAAAGGCACACGTTAACATTAAATGGTTTTAAGACAAGTATGAAGACAACAGCATTGATGACTTGATAGTGTACCAATCACCAAAACATGTTTTGCTCTTAATGTTAGGGCTGGGGCTCCATGCATGCCACTATACTGCATTCAAAATATGAGCCCCAATTATTACTTTTTTACAAAGACTTAATATGGCAGCTTAAATAACTTGCTGAGTAGACTAGTACGCGTATATAAGCTTGCGTAAAATAGGGTCCGCACAGAACCCGAGTTGGACTTTGGTTCCGATGCATGCGGTTTTATGATATTGCTTATTTCCTGCATACTCGCTAACGTATATTTAAAGCAAGGTAAAGTGTTTTGAGGTTAATTTGTATACCTTCTTTCTACATGCACACAAATTGCTTTTTACAGGTGATTAGTCTACTTTATAAACACATCCATTTTTCTTTTTACTTTTTAACATTTCTACGGAACATGATAGGCCTTGATAATCTGGAGTAAATCTATTAATGTGCTGGGCCAGGTCAAATGGATACATGTACATGTAAAACTATGATGTATCAAAATGTGTATAAACAGTAGAAAGACTATAATGCACTTGATTAAAATATTCTAAGATTATATAACAGTATAGAAATATGAAAGCTCAAAAAGGATTAATGAAGCATTGGTGGATGAACTCACTTCATGTCAGTTTTATGTAGGAAGAGAGTGCGTTCCTTGTCACTCTTGAACTTGGGTACAAACTGTACCTTCTCGATGGTCTCAAACCCCTCGTCCTGGGAAGGAGCCTCGTACTTCTTCTTGTATATGTTGTATGCTACCTCCGGGATGCGTCGAATACTGCCCTCTGACAATGACTGTCTGTACATGTTCATGTGGAAAGCAAGCTCCAAAGGAGTATCCATGATGATACATCTTACAACATAGCCTGAAGATGAGACAAGGAAATAAATCAGTTAATCTAATGATAATAATTTGTAAGGATGCATTGGGAGTTGTTGAAGTTCAGGACTTCCTTAACTTATCCTGAGTTTAATAATATCAACTTATCAAGAGGTTTATGTCAACTTCCAACTCTGTAAGCCTACTTATGAAAGAGAGGATTGTAACTTTGTGATTGATTGGAGGACTTGTAATTAAATCTGAACACATGTAATTCTTTGAGAGACAAGGCATCGTACAGCAGACTTTAACTCCTTCAATGCCACCAACTTTAAACAAAAATTCTCATAAATGACCTTTTAAGTTTTAATATTAAAAGTTATAAGTGCATGCTTCATAACAAAATTTGGCCTTACATACATATGTACATGTATGCTCCTTGGAAATCGACAGTGACATTCCAAGGATACAGGTACTACCGTTTTCTCTAACAATTCTTAGTCCAAATGGATTGTTTATCACTCTTATCACCCTTGTGTGGGCTTTGACAGGCATGGCACAGAAATACAAAATACACTAATAAAAATGTATTTATACAACTCACTCCTCGATCCTAATCAAATGATTGTTCTAACACGGTCACGTGTGATTCATTTACTGAGACTATCCCATGTATTCACATGAAAAAGATCTATCAGTTCTTGTTGAGTCTGTTTATGCACCTATGGTACGAAGCCTCAATTCAAGTGCAGATAGATCGTATGGTGAACTATTATTATCTTTATTACTACAGCTACATGTACATGCCTTCTTCTTTGGCCAGGTCGATGTAATCAGCCCTTGCAGACCTAGAAGGGTTGGTGTTGTCAATCACTACATTCTTGCCTGCCTCCATTGCTTCTTCCGTTGCTCTCAAACACTTTGCAGGAGTGTTGAGAGTGTCTCGGTTGATCCACACGTATCCATGGCTAACCAATGTGTCCTTGGCAAAGGAGCTTTTACCTGATGCTGGAGGTCCAACCAGGATCACAAGATCTTTCACCTGTTGGGGATATTAAAAATAACTAGATGGAATTTTGACTGCGCGCAGTCGAAAATGATGCCTCCGCCATAGAGCAATTTAAACAAGTTTGGAGTTTAAATCTCCAGTGGTTCTTGAGATATCATGATAACAATCTCAATGGAATTTCATAAGTGACCTCTGTGACCCTTGACCTTTGACCTACGTGCTCCAAAATCTAATCAGATTGTCTTCCTATGGTGATACACACTATCATTAAGTTTGAAGTTTAAATCTCCAGTGGTTCTTGAGATATTATGATAACAATCTCAATGTATGGAATTTCATAAGTTGACCTCTGTGACCCTTGACCTTTGACCTACGTGCTCCAAAATCTAATCAGATCGTCTTCCTATGGTGATACATACTATCCTTAAGTTTGAAGTTTTTACATCTCCAGTGGTTCTTGAGATATCATGATAACAATCTCAATGTATGGAATTTCATAAGTTGACCTCTATGACCCTTGAACTTTGACCTACGTGCTCCAAAATGTAATCATATTGTTTTCCTATAGTGATACACACTATCACTAAGTTTGAAGTTTAAATCTCCAGTGGTTCTTGAGATATCATGATAACAATCTCAATGTATGGAATTTCATAAGTTGACCTCTGTGACCCTTGACCTTTGACATACGTGCTCCAAAATCTAATCAGATCGTCTTCCTATGGTGATACATACTATCCTTAAGTTTGAAGTTTAAATCTCAAATGGTTCTTGAGATATCGCGCTAACAAACTCAATACAAGGAATTTCATAAGTTGACCTCTGTGACCTGTGACCTTTGACCTACGTACTCCAAAATCTAATCAGATCGTCTTCCTATGGTGATAAATACTATTCCCGAGTCTTAAGTTTAAATCTTAAATGGTTCTTGAGATATTGTGATAACGGTCAAACGGGACGGACGTACGGACGGACAACCCGAAAACATGATGCCTCCGGCACCACCTTCGGTGGCGGAGGCATAAAAAGCAGGTCACAAAATTAAGTATACCGGTAATTTATCCTTTATTCTGGACTTGAGAAATGGTGGAAAGATGCCCGAGACAAATATGATGAGAATCCCAACCAAAGGAAACCATGGATAGGAACATTAGTTTAAAGACTGAATAATCCTGAATAAGTGAGTTACAAGTGAGTTAATCCTTGGCCACATATTGTTTTATAAGCATGGCAGTAATGCAGATTTTAATCACCAATATCAATTTTCAAAACTAAGTTTGTGACATATCTGTAATCTGTACTCTGTATGATACTGGATATTGTACGTATAATTTCTGCCATATTTGCTAAACAAAAAGTAGACATTAGGGACTTTTCGCACAGGGACGCAAGTGCTGGCTAGTGGCTACGGGGTATTTAAATGAGCTGTGAGCCCCGTACTAGCTCGACTCCCAACACTAATACAACTGAATACCGTCATAGGTTTGGACGCCACGCAGAATTTTTTGGCCAGAGTAGGAACCCCGCAAAGATAAGCGTTGTAGAAGGCCCCGTCGCCGGTTGCGAGAACTGTCTATTGTATGTGGGACGGAACTATTTGAAGCTCCATGATTTAATCGGACTACATTTATGAGCGCATCCTAACTATCTCTCGCATTCAATTCTTCAAGTCATTATTGTTGACAACGCTCTCACCTTCTTGTCCTTCTGATGGTATTGTTTGAGCGACCCTCTTCCCTCTCCATCCTTTAGTGCTTGCACCGGATCACATGAATGCCATTCAAATGGAGCAGGCTTCTCGCCAAGGAAGAACTCCTCCGGCGTGTAGAACTGAACACCGACATTGTGAGCAAACATACGGTCAGAGCAGGAGAAATCTCGAGGTTTCCCTGGAGCCCAGTTCTTGGCACGACCTGCAGCATCCCCAACGTACATGCTCTTGGAGAAATCAACCTTGATGCCATCGTTCTCCTCGTTTGCTGCTAGATCCCACATCTTAGTACCTGGCTTGCGATAATGATTCTCACCCGTCGCTGCAAAACACTGTACATGTACATAGAAATGAGAGGTGGTAGTTATGTTGATGCACATATCGATTTGAAATTGCTCATTAAAATTTATCATTCTTACTATGGCTTTGTTTCATTATTCACTCTTATTCTTTACTTATTTTCTGTTATATGTTACTATATATTGATGTTTTCGATGATGCTTATATTGTTCAAGTAGTTTGTATCTTCATATATATGTTGCTTTTGTTTACAGGGCACCCTGGAAAACATACTGTGATTACTGATGGGGCTACCCTGTTCAAATAAAACGGAATGCATAAATAAATAAATAAAATCACCCATGTTAACTTTGTTTCGGTTTTGTTTGGTCACCAACAAAGGATGGACTTGAGGTTTGAACCAAGGAAATAATAGATAAGTTCTACATGTACAGTGAATATACTTGAGGTGTCAGAGAAGTGTCAAATATTGTTCCCCTATGATCCTATCTATTTCATCATTACCCATATTACCCAAACTATACCATAAATATACATGTAGGATATGTATGTTAGTACATAGTTTCTTAACAAAAAATAATGGATGGTTCTAGGACAATTTATTAGCCCCTCGACAATGCCCTTGGCCAATTACCCCCACGTTCAACCATATAAACAAGGACAACCACCACCGAGGAAAATTACCCCCCAGAAAATAACCCCCTGTTCATTATAAGTTGGCTTTGATAAAAGCAGAAAAAAACAGATTCTAACAATTTTAACCTGGGCATGTGCACATGGTAACCCTTAGGGTTAGTGGTATGGTTATAATAATCGGGCAAACCCACCTTTCATCAACCCATCGTTCAAGAACATGGTAATCGAACGTTGTATTTGTGGGTTCGAACCTCAAGACTTATTCAGATTTTTGCCTTTATAAAAAGTAAGGCAAAGCAATCGATAATCAAAGTCTAATTGTCTGCAAGGTACATGTAGGTACAGTTAGCTAGACTATTCGCGACCTTAGCTGCATGGTCGGGTTCTCGTCCACGTAAGTTCATGAATAATAATGAACAAATCTTGGAGCCCATGTAGTGTCGACCTCCCCTGTCCCCCATTTTCTTACATCCTTATTGTCATAAGTAAATTTTACCTGAATGGGCAACTGTAATGCATTAGCAATCTGGTTGATCTTGAGTTGAAAATCTGTTGGTTTTGTGTGTCCTTTCTCAATGCCCCTCTGATTAGACATGATGACAATCTTGAAGCCATCTTTGTTGAGCTTCTTCAGCTTTTCCTCTACCTTGTCATTCAGGAGCATCCAATCCGATGGACCTTATTAAAAAGATAAATCACCCGGCCATGCAATGATGCAAGTTCAAGTTCCATTACAAGCTTTATATTATCATTAAAAAAAGGGAATAGTCTATGACTTATGAGGTAAACCTTGTAATCGGACTAGGAATACTAAAATCTGTCATGAATACAAATTGTTCAAGATCAGCGTGAAGAGGAAATGAGTCATAAAATGGTAATGAGAAAATATATTATTACATGCACATTATATGATAATTCGCCTATATATGACCAAGTCAAAAGTGCAACATTACCATTTCAATATCTATTCTGTAGCATTTACCAAATAACTGCGATTGGATGTGGTGAAAGACTACTACAGTAGTGACACTTGATAAAAACCAGTTATGGTCATGCGATTGCATTGTGAAAGAAATGTTGTGGAATCGATCAGAAAAGGTTGATCATCTAGCATATTTATAGTAGATCTATTTGGTGTGTACTGCAAAGTTCTGGAATCATCAAAATGATAAGAAATTTCTTTTTTTTGAGAGGGGGGTTATTCCAAAACTGGTCCTTACCTGTGTGAAGTTATCTACCGTAATGAGGATCTGAGACATTACGGTAGATAACTTCACACAGGCGCGCGCCCGCCACAACCCACCATCGGTATGCACTTGTATTGTGCAGCGGCTCCTGTGAAAAAGTGTACACTAATATCATCGTTTTTCCCCAAAATAACAAGAAAATTTACACAAAATATGTATTAAACATAACAACTTTTAACTCTTTATTTGGACATTTAATGAATATTTACTTCATTTTGGGTATGTTTTAGTAGGGTATCTTCATGCCGGAATTACGGGTCAAATTTTGGATAGGTTTCTGAACAAGCGCCTGGGGGTGTGCCGCTTTAATGGTAACATTTTCACAAAATCCCTAAACATTTATCCCACTTTGAACAAAAATACAAAAATTTGCAAAATTTTCGGATAAAAGACCCCATTTTTTTGAAAAATGCCCACTAGACCTAATAATGGGTACAGTCTAGATCTAGGGGTTTCGAGGCTTGAGCGGCACACATCACCCTGTCTCTTTCGTTTTTTAGCCTCGAGTCTGATTTTGGTTGGGTCTCGGTCGGTCGGCTCCTCTCTACTCTAGCTCTTTATCAGATCAGGCTATAAATTTTATAAATGAACGAAAAAAACATAAATTTTCGGTCGACATGCACTTACCTGTGGGCCACTTTCTGCCACTTTTCGGTTTAATGAGCGTGTAATCGAGATCAAATCCGGCCACTTTACTGGATCCCTTGATACCCGGCCCAGTCAGCTGAATAACAGGAGGAAAACCTTTAGAGCTTTCTTCACCGACTGAGCTCCAGTCAGCATCGTAGAATACATGCTGATTCGGGTCCGCCTTCTTTGATGCGGCTGCACGTTTGGCAACTTTGGGTTTAGAACTCGCCGCCGCATCCCCGCTATCCTGTTCCTTCTTCGAGAGGGTGGGAGCTTTCCTCTTTCGGGGCATTTCGAATTTCGACGAAAATGTAGCCCGATGCCGACTTGTGGAATTTGTGATCGCAAAGTAACTAAACTATGGCTTTCAAGAGCTAGCTTTGTGCAGGTTCCGCTATGGATATGGCTCGAGCTGTAGGCCTACTACTGTAGATACGATGTGGACAAGTTAAGTGCTAATTTGAAAACGAGTTGGTGCTTGTTAATGTTTTGCATTTGTACGATCACTATGAGAATGAAATTCATGCCGTACGTATGGCAAGCCGTTTTAACATTTATTCATATTTCTTGATATCAAGAATTCCATTCTTGATATAAAAAAATGAATTTTTGATATCAAGAATTTAATTCTTGATATCTTTAATTCTTGATAATATCGATCGAGAATTACCATTGCTTTACAACGTAAAATTATTTCTTGATATCAAGAATAGAATTCTTGATATCAAGAAATATGAATAAATGTTAAAACGGCTTGCCATACGTACGTACGTATGCACCCCCCCCCCACTTCCCGCGCCCCTGACGGCCATATGCATGAAAGCTAGTTAAAAATGCTTGTTGGTTCATAATTCCTTTTATACTTTTAGCAAATTTTAATAATCAATATTATAATCATGATAATATATATAAGCATATTGTTTTGGTATTTGTAAATGGCTCTAAGACCTCATGAGGGAAAAATAAATATCCACTCCCTAGCTTTTACAACTTCAATACTCTGTTAAATCGTTCTCAATTTTCAAGCGAAGAATTGAAATTGTATTCATGGATGTTATGTTATGTAATGTTATGTAGGCCATACTTATCAAATCCTACACATTTTAATATCATTTACGCAAGTATGTCGGCCTAAATTATGCTATAGCTTTATAGCTAGGGCAAAATTTGATCTTGCTCTGTTTAAATGGGAATTTAGAGCATGTGTAATGAACTTGCCATACCGTAATTAAGCTTATTCTTTTGCGCCATCGACCTGCTCTTAACAATAGCGAACCGTGGCCAATGAGTTATTAAGATATGTCCCTTACTAAATTAAATATTTTAACTGCAGCAAAGACAGGAATTGTTTAGGCCACTTTAACAAAAATATACATGTTTAGCGTCCCCGCCCGCTTCCTTTTTGGGAGCCGCCTCCTATTTTTTTTTAAATTTTTTTTTTAATTAAAAAAACAAAAACAAAAAACAAAACATGAAAAACACGACTAAAATGGATCTATTTTTGATTAAAAAAAAAAAATGTCGGCGGCCATCTTGAAAAATAGCCCGACTGTCAGGGAAAATGGACCGAGCTGCCATTTTGAGCGGCCATCTTGAAAAAAAAAAGGGCCTCCTCCCTATTTTTCGAAAAAAAAAGGACGCTAAAAACATGTTTTTTTTTTTTAATTTGGCCTTATATGTTCTGATTTTCACAAACATAAGCCCCAGCATAAGCCATAAAACAAAAGTCATTATTCAATGCAGAGAAGCATTCGTTACGGCCCAGCACTCCCACATTCTATCCATATATATTTAAGAATAAGGGCGAGAATACAAACCCTTATAATTATAGAGGCATAATACTTTAATGAGTTTCTTAGGTAAGCTGTTTACATCAATTTTGAACTATAGGATCACTCAGTTTTTTGAGGATGATAGTTGATAGGAGAAGAGCAAGCTGGCTTCCGGTCCAACTATTCAATCATAGATAGTGTGTATGTTTTAAAGTCTATTATTGATGTATATTTAAATAATTTTAAACGCCTTTATTGTGCATTCATTGATTATAAGAAAGCCTTTGATTTAATTGGTTGAACGTGCAGCATTGTGGGTTAAAATGTTTAGAATCGGAGTAAAAGGCAAGATTTTCAATGTTATAAGAAACATGTTCAGGTGTGATAAATCATGTGTTGCTAACAAGGGAGATAATTATTATGTCCAGTTTATTTACATGCAATATTGGAGTGCGTCAAGGTGAAAACCTCTCACCTTCTCTTGTTTGCTATTTATTTGAACGATTTCCAACAATATATTGGAAACTCGCACAAGGGCTTGGAATATTTTAATACTATTATTAAAAATAAGTTGCCTTTTGAGGTTTTCTTTGTTATATGCTGATGACACAATTATTCTAGCAGAAACTCCTGAAGAGTTGCAAAAAGCCCTAAACGCAGTGAAAGAATATTGTGATATTAAGCACTTAACTGTTAATTCCAGCAAAACTAAAATTGTTGTTTTTTTCACGTTAGAAAGTTAGAAGAATTCCAGAATTCGTTTATGATGGTGGTGTACTGGAAGTTGTTTATGACTTTGTATATTTAGGAGTGACGTTTAATTATAATGGTAACTTTAAAAAAGCAATTGCTAAACAAGTCACACAAGCTCGAAAGGCAATGTATAGTATCTTAGTAAAGGCAAAAAGGTGGCATTTATCTGTTCATACAGAATGCCATTTATTTGATCACTTAGTTTTGCCAATTCTATTATACGGTGCCGAGGTCTGGGGCTATGAGTGTATAGATCAACTTGAACTTTTCCCCAAAAAATGTTTAAGAACCATATCGTTTGTAAATATGTTCCAAAAAAAATGTTTAAGAACCATATCGTTTGTAAATATGTGCACACCTGACTGCATGGTTTATGGTGAAACTGGGACTTGGTAAAATACTCGATAAAATTAAGTGTAGAATGATTGGATATTGGTTTAGATTAGTTAAAGGGAAGCAATTAAAGTATTCATTGATTCTTTTTAATTTCTGTTGCAGTTGTAAAGTGAAGGACAAAGTTCAAATAATATAAAGTTACAATGGGTTGAGTTTCTAGCAGACAGTTTTGATTAAGCAGGACTTGGAAATGTCTGGCGATTTCAAGGAGAAGGATATAGTGCAGCCTGGATTACGAATACTATGAAAACCAGGCTTTCTGACATGTCTATTCAGGAATGGAGCGCAGCTACCTGGTCAAATCGTATTTTCACGAACTATAGGATGTTTAAGAATGAGTTATATATGAAAAAATACCTGCAGATATTATGTCAGAAGGAAGCAATAACTTTAAGTAAATTTAGATGTAGAACACATAGATTACCAGTTAATAAAGGTAGATTTGATGCAATTGTAGTATATGATTTGCAATGCCCACTCTGTACACCAACAGATATTAGTGATGAATTTCATTATATTTTTGTATGTCCATTCTTTCCAAATGAGAGAAAAATGTATATACCAAATAACTTGTGTGGTAGTAGCTCAAGACCAAGTGCGTCGCACACCGTTGCACATGGATAAGGTTTTTAAAACAGTTCACGCTTGCCAGCTAAAGAAATTAGCAAAATTTGTTAGAATCATTATGTCACACTTTTCAAAAGAGTCAAGGGTAGATGGTAATACTGTAAATGATTGCTCACAAGCAGATTGATTGATTGATTTTTATTCGACAAGCTTCCAACATACAACAATATACAATAATAACAGATCAAAAATAAGTCAGCTTGAACAGGATAACCCACGAAAGCTCGAGAGCTTATTTCCAGTGGGGTCCCTTACAGACTTGTATAAAATTAATAAGTTAAAAATAGTAATATTTACAGACAGATAAGAAAATTAAAAGAACTACTTATTAAAGATAATAATAATAATAACAACATTAAACTGATGATAGAAATGATATTAAGTACAAGAAGAAAAAGAAGAAGGAGAAGAAGAAAAAGAGGAGAAGGAAGAAGAGGAAAACAATGATGAATTTGAAGAATTTCTATAACGTACGAAAACATAAGTATATACAACATGAAAAAGTATGAACCGACAGAATAATAAAAATTTCAATCATATAACATGTCATTCACTTCTCTTTTCTGACTGTCAAGTATTAGGTATTCCTTTAATTTCCTCTTAAAATTATCATAGTTTCCTATTTCTTTTACACCATTGGGGAGGGAATTCCAATGTTTTATGGCATTCTAATAAAACGAATTTCCAATACTACCTACTCTTTCTGGTAAGTTAAGGTTGAATCGTCTATTTCTTGTATTATAATCATGTACGTCAGTAATACAAGATCGAAGTTGGATCGAATATAATGATTCGACCTAGTATGATATATTTTATGCACGTGATGCAATGCGAGTTGTTTTGATCTTTGGTCGACTTCAAGAAAACCAGCTTTAAAAAGTTCGCTGTAGCCAACATGAGTTCTTGGACCAGAACAGTTGATAAATCTCACCATTTTGTTCTGTATAATCTTCAACTTCTTTTGATCTGACTTGTTTATGTTACTATACCATGCAGGGTTAGCATAGTCAAATAAACATTGAATAAGAACAAAACAGAGTGTACGTCTTGCTTTTAAATCCGTACAACTTTGATATCTGTACAAAAATTTCAGACGAGAATTTGCTTTTTTTACAACTGATTCTACTAAAGATGAAAATGAAATTGCGCTAGCCAACTCAATGCCTAAATACTTCACAGACTCTTTTCTCTTGATTGCTTGATTATTGTGTGTCACTTTGAATTCAAATGACTTTTTAGAACTACTTTTAGAACAAAATAAAATGCTTTCTGTTTTTCCCAAGTGTAAAGAAAGCTTATTATCAGTCATCCAATCGACACACGTAGACAGCTGTTCACTGAGCTTTTCCTCAATATATTTAGGATCAGGATTTGAATAGAGTAGTACGCTGTCATCTGCGTACAATAATAGTTTGAAGTCTTTTATACAAATACACATATCATTTATATAACTTGAAAATAGAATTGGGCCTAAAATGCTTCCCTGAGGAACACCGCATGTTATAGGCATTAGTTTGGAACGAATATCATGAATGGCCACTACTTGGTGCCGATTAGAAAAGTAGGATCTGAACCAACCTAAACTTGCCTTATTAAAACCCATTAGTTGTAACTTCTTCAATAAGACGCAATGATTAACTGTATCAAAAGCTTTTTGCAGATCAAGGAGCACCATACCAACAAAGCGCCCTTGGGAAGTTTCTCTCCTCAAGTAATCAGTCAAATGAATGAGACATGTTTCAGTCGAATAATCATGTCGAAAACCAGATTGAAATTCATAAATTATATCATTTTCTTTGAAGTATCTTTCAATTTGAACACAGACCGATTTTTCTAGAATCTTTGATGCTACGCTTAAAACACTACTAATAGGTCTATAGTTGCTAACATCAGTTTTATCTTTCTTTTTATAAAGTGGAGTCACTTTTGCTATTTTCATATCTTCTGGAAAAGTACTCGTCAAGATAGATAGGTTCATTAAGTAACTTAGAGGCTTAAATAAAACCTTCGCACCATCTTTTAGAAATTTAGCTGGAATCAAGTCCAACCCAGTACTTTTTGATACATTCAACTTACGTAACTCTTTGAAAACAAATTGTTCACTGATTGGTAATAACTCGAAGCTGTTTTCACGTACACCTTTTCTTTCGTAAAAGTCACGAATACAATCATTGTCTGCGCTGAAAAAGTCTTTGGAAGGGGGGAGTTTGTCTACTAATTTGGCAGCCACATTTGTGAAATGAGAATCGAATTCATCAGCGATGACCATCTTATCATGACATAATTCCCCATCAATTTTAATGACAGATTCTTGTTCTTTTCGCTTCTTATTTTTCAATCCTAAGCTTTTTAGATTCTGCCAAAGTTTTTTCGAATCTTGTTTATTTTCTTCTATCTTGTTTTGTAAGTAATCGAGTTTAGCCTTTTTCACCTCTCTTTGGACCATATTTCTTAATACTCTGTATCTTTTATAGAGCTTCTCATCTTTTGCTCTTTTCCTCCATTTTTTGTATACTATATTTCTCTCTTGAATTAGGGAAAGAATATCTTTAGTCACCCAAGTTTCTGATCTTTGTTTTATTCTTATCCGTTTTAGTGGCGCTATCATATTCAAATTTGAGATAAAAACATGTTGAAATATTGACCATGCCTCATTTACATCTGTACAGTCAGTTATTCGTGACCAATCAACAACAGATAGTTGAAGATTGAAAGACTCTTCTGTATATTTTTTCATGGATCTGATATCATTAGTCCTGTGATGACCTATAGCCAGTCTAACATTTTTCCGTGTACAGAAAGTAAAATAATGGTCGCTAATACCTAGATCAATGACACCACTTTGACTTATTTTATTTTCTTTGGTACAACCAACATGATCCAATAGAGAAGAACATGTAGGTGTAACGCGTGTTGCCTCTTTAATGAGTTGACTAAACCCATGAAGACTCAACAAGTCAATATATTTTTTAGCCAGTGGCGATTTGCGAAGAAGACAAAATAATATTCATGTCTCCTAAAAGAATTTTTTCGTCATCCTTCTTTAATGTATCAAGAATATTGGACAATTTCTCGATAAACAAATTGTTTTTCGGAGGTCGATACAGAACACCAACAACAATTGGTTTTGATCTTGGTATAAGCAAATTTATCCACAGGGATTCCGTATCTCCAGTACTTATAGCATCCATAATATTAAATGCAATATCATTTCTGATATAGAAACATACACCACCTCCAGAGCCAGAGGATCGATCATGGCTTATGATTTTATATCCGTCTATTTCAATTTCTTCATCATTTATGGAATTGTTTAACCATGTTTCAGTGAAAGCAATAATAGACAGCCTTTTTCTTTTAAAAAGAATTCTAAGTTCCGATACCTTGTTTAGAATAGACCTCACATTAAGGTGTAAAAAATGAAGACCTTTAACTTTAAACTTTTCTTCAAATTCTTGGTAAAGAGAAGTGTTTTCATCTCTGAGGTTTGGCTGAATTACTCTTGCTATCGCTTGCTTTTCAGGTGTAACGTGCGTTATCTTAAAATAGTTTTCTTTTAGTCTATCCCCGTTTTGGCTTTCTTTCTCTAAACAATCGTCGTTAAATAATGACTCACAAAAAGATGGCAGACAACATGTTAAACAATTCCACTTCTCATCAGGGCATTCATAATATAACCTGCGGTACTCTGAAAAACTGATAGCTTGACAATTAGTGTGAAACCATTTTTTACAATAAGAACACAGAAGGCCGTGTTGATTACATTTGACTGGCTTATCACAGTTCCCACAAGGGAACTTATATTTTCGACCGTCAACTATAATTTTCGGATCATCACTAGATTTTGTCAAACTTTCACTTAATTCAATACCCTTCTTACAAATTGAAGATATTTCACCCAGTCTTTCATGTCCACCTTGGATGGTCTGAAGGCTGGTTTCGGTCGTGACCTCTGATCGACTGCACTGAAATCCAAAGATCTCCCAGAAACAGATTCGGCGTAGGACTTAACGGGGCTGCTTTTTTCCTCAGCAGAATGAAGACTCTGGTTTTCTCGGTAGATGGCTTGATGCCGCCTTGCTCCAGGTTCACTGCCTGTAACTTGATCGGACGACCGTTGAGTCCAGCCATGGCCTCGTTGTCGGTTGGTCAGCACTGTTGATGAGGCGTTTTAGGTTGCCTGCCAAGATTCGTTGACCGGCTCTGTTGAGGTGAACGCCATCACGCCCGAGATGCTGCTCGCTGATATCATTGTTGATGTTGAGGCCCCATCTGTTCTCGCTGGCTGCCAACTCCATCAGATAGTTGATCTCATCAACCCGCTTCTTGTCCGCTTCACTCTCCCATCTACGATGGATGATCGTAGAGACTGAGACGTTAAACCCCTCGGCAGCAACAGACTTGCCGAGGTCTGTGATTTGGTGGCAAACTTCACCAGCACCCTCAGAGATGTTGTTGGTGCCAGCGTGGATGATCAGTTCTCCCCCTGGCTTGAGAAACTCGCAAGGTGAAGAGGTGAATATGTCTCTCACTTTTGCACCGGGAAAAGAGACGCACCTTGTAGTATCTTGAACAACTGCACAATTAGCATTCCATACTTTCTGGTTGTCATTGGTTACTCGTACAAGAACAATGTATAGTGTATGGTAATATGACCTGTACAGAAGTTGAACAGAGAATACACACACGTTATCAACCATGTAATTGAAGGCTGTTGTGTCGTCCTTTCGGCTGTCTAAATAAGGACCAAAACATTACACACCTCACGTTCTTGCTGCGGGAGAGATGTCTTCCGTCGATGTGTTTTATCATGGAATCACCGACCACAACTACATCTCGTTTGTTGCGGATCACACTATGTCGGTGGCGGTATCCCTCCATCTGCTCATGGTATGGTGGTGAAGTAGAAGTAGTACTAGTAGGTGTTGACAAAGATCGGTCTGAGCTGTCATCAGTTGCGTCGTTGTCAACAGTTGCGTCGCTGTCATCAGTTGCGTCATCAGAGATAACTTCAGAATGGGTGATGTTGGTTTTGGAGAACAACTTCAGGTGCTTGGCCTTGTATTCATGGAGTTGATCTTTCATTGGCATTGATACACTCTTGGCACTGTTGTCTGATTCCGTGTTCTCGGATAATATTTCAAACCGGTTATGCGTAGCAATTGTCGGGAAATATTTGGTGGTAGGCCTAGATACTTGTTGTTGTGCCCTCAGATTCCCTTGCTCCTTCTCCTTCTCCTTCTCCTTCTCCGTCTCCTTCTCCTCCTCCCTTGCACTACATCCTGACTTATGGATCCTGCTGAGTATCGTCGTAGAAGTAGAAGTAGAAGTATGCTGTTCGAATAGATTGTTGAACTTCTTCTCGATAGTATCTAGCCTACTATTAAAGCCTTTCATTTCACTCAGTACATTATGCAGTAGTTGTCGGCAGTCTGCGTCATCATTGAAGACATCATCTGGCTTTTCATGTTTATCTTCAGCTACATCACCAGCGGCATTCGTGTTCCTTATTTCGTCTAGGCCTACTGCATTTTCTAGTCTTTCAAGAAGGATCGCCTTTACTCCGTTTGTTTGCATACCTCTTTTCTGTAACTCAGCACGTAGTTGCTTCACGCGGAGTCCACGTAAATTTGTTGGTAAAGTTTCCATTGTACGTTGCTGCGTTGGTATCTGCTGGTCCTTTGCGTAACTTAACTGGTATATGGCGCAATATTTTTGCGCACAATTGTTTTGATGCTACGCAGAGTGTTCAAATTTGAAATATAAATTCGCTAAAAAACTGGATTAAAATTTACGAAAAACGAATATATCTCGTAAAATGTTCACATACCGTCGAAAAGAGTAAAATGTCCACAATCACAGGAAAATTTCCAAGACGTAGATGTATAACAGTCAAAAGAAAGTGCACTATAAACGCACAAAATATGGGAATTTACGGAGCACCACAAACACACGTCTGCCTCTGTCAATCGCAAAAACAGTCTTCTTATCGCAAAAACAGTCTTAAAAAAGCAATGTTATTAGGCACACTCTAAACGGTAGGAGGGAGAATAGCCCAGTTCGCCTTGATTTGTAAATATGTTTATTTGTTCATATTATCACATGTTTATTATTGGTCATATTATCACATGTTTGTCTTCGTTCATATTATAATATTATGTTTGTCATTGTTCATGTTATCACATGTTTATTATTGTTATACTATTTGTATATTGATACTATGTTGTAAATATGTTTGCACTCTCATACTCCGAGAGGGGGTCGATAAAGTGAATAAAATCTTACAATCTTACAATCCATCCTCTTCTTGCCCTCCCTCTTTCTTCCCTGTGCCCTTCTGTCTCTCTCTAGCTCTCTCCCTCCCTCTTTCCTTCTCTCCCTCTCTTTCATCTCTCTCTCTCTCTCCCTCATGTGCACCACTCTCTCTCACTATCTCTCTCTCTCTCTCTCTCTCTCTCTCTCTTCAGCCTGTGAGCTGTTGGTATAATTTGGTTATAGAAAATTCAGAGTTCAAAGTATTTATAACAGGTTCAAAATGTGTGTGTGCGTGTGTGTGTGTGTGTATGTATTTACATGCATTATATATATACATGTGTACAGGTGCGTACGCAGGGGGGGGGGGGGAGGGGGTTAACCCCCCCCCCCCTCAATTTGTTTTTATGTGTGTGTTTTGGGGAAAAAAAACCAAAAAATGTTTTTAATACAAAAATAAAATAATAAAGGGTGACAAAAAAGTGACCTTATCCCCACCCCCCCCCCCCCCCCCCCCCCCCTCCACTACTGAACGAAATATCGGCCGGCATAATTTCCAATTGCCGGGACAAAAATAAAGTGCTCTTCCGTCATTTCGGTCTACGCGCGAGCTGAAAAATTACCCTGTCGCGGATTGTCAATGGGGGCGCTGTTGATTGTGAACCAAAGAGATACTGTGAACATGGAGAGGATATCTATGATTATTTTTTCATTACAGGCCCACAGACAAAACATAACAATTAAACATACTTTAAAATAAAGTTTGGTCGCATTTAGAGTGTTTCGGATTTGTAAACGCATCCTGAGGATTATTACATGACAAATTAGTTTCAGCGAAATCACCTTGACATTACTAGAAAATAGAGAATTATATAACGCAACTATAATATCGGCCTATGAGCACGAATAGTATATCGTACACTTAAACAAAAATGATGATTATTAATAAAAACAATAATGAAAAGGGAAGACGTTTGTTGGATAAAACTAATATGTGCATATGCGTATTCTTCAATTGAGTATTGAATGTTTTTACAATACAAATGAATTAATATTAAAAAAACTAAGTAAAATTTACCTTAATCGGGAAAGTTTTATACAAATTTGGGGTTAGTTCTTTCCAAACATACAAGTTGTTATTCACCCAGGTAATATCTGTACTCAACTTTGTTTTTAGAGTTGAATTTTTTAAATGAAGAACTGTTTTACTGGTACATCTAAATAATAGACTAACCATTATGCAAGAAACATGAAATACACGTCTATTTATAAGTGTGTGTGGAGCCCATTTAAGAACAACACTTGACAGTGCCGATCAGGTTCTAGATCTCACAAGTGTTTTAAAAATAAAGAAATGAATAAATAAATATAATGGCACAAACTTCGCTGACATTCTGTCCAATAACAGATCAGAATTATTGACAAACTACAAACTACCTAAAAGATGCTATCCTAAAATAACTCGGAGGAATAGGGAACGCCGATATTGAAATGCAATCCTACCCCCTTTTTTCCATAATTTGCTAAATGCAGGAATATATTCCACATAAATACTCCCGTTACTGTACAGCGCTTTGAAACCAAAATAAATGTAATGAACTTCCTCAAATAACGTATGTCCAAAGATACACACTAATTTGCTGATAGTAATTTAGGCACACCGGAATACTAAATAGAATCGAAACTGGCTTTGGAGAGGAAACTGGTTGTCTTTTACTTTCGATTTTAATTTCCGTTTATTCATCCTGCATGTAGACTACTTCAGTAATAGCACAGAGTCGCTTTTTATCTAGGACTTATCTGTGCTAGTTGTTACTTGTTTTATTTATTAATTGTTCTGCATAATTATATTAAGAAATGATAGATTAAAACTATCTACAGTTTTGACACGATCGTGAAAGATGTTAATAAGTTGCTTCTTAATGTGACTCAGATATCAGAAAAACACCCCTTAAAAGCAATTATTTTTGTAATGGAATAAAAGCATCATATCATGCACACAATTCTATGTTGAGTTAAAGATTGTTATCAGTTAATTTGTAATAAAATGAACCACTCGTAGTGTACATTACGAAGGAACTATCAGATCTTATGAACTTCAATCTACAATCAGTACAACCAAAGTACAATATGAGCTATAGAAAAAAAACTATTGCAAAAATCTTTAAGGATTAGCTGCCATTAAGCTCAATATAATTATGTCTTTCGGTATACGTATTTATTATTTATTTCGCATCTTTATACATAGTATCATGTTCAGCTACATAATCATTACGAAACATTGTTAAAAACATTAAAATAGGCAGGCTTACAACAGGGCTCTGTTTAAAAACAACATAAAAATGACAATGAACAGTATTATATATAGAAATGACAGGGGTAACGAAGGCTAACACACACACACACACACACACAGACGCGCGCGCGCGCGCGCACACACACACACACACACACACACACATCCTGTTATTCTGGCAATAACGCTTCTGTATGAAATGCATAATTTTTACATAAGTTTTGTCCAATACCTAAGTGTCATCGACATGTTAGTTGTTACACTTGGACCTAAATGATTTGATAAACATTACTTTGCTAAAGTCGCTGGATTCCTTGATTGTAAGGACATAATATATATAATGACTGACAAAATTTATATTCCTCGTATTTTACTCTATAAAAGCAAAAAGGTAAATATTGAACACAAATATTTGCTGTGATCTATAATTGATGTACATTACATACATGGAGAGGGAGAAGAGAGAGAGAGAGAGAGAGAGACAGACACAGAGAGAGAGAGAGAGAGATGGAGAAAGTCATTACGTTAACATTCATTTATTTTTTATCTTTTGGTGAAAGGCCGCAAAATGTTTTCACCTATTTTAAATTCAGGACAACTGTCTTTAATTTTTTTTTTAAAGAAATTCAAATAATTCGAATTCATTATCTGTCTATCCTGGCAACAATGCTGAGTTATTCATACTTCCTGTTAAACTGTTGATGCAATATGGGAAGGTTAAACTTATTCGGGGTTGTGGTGAATTGGACCATCATTTCCATAGTCCTCAATTTAGACAATTTGATAGAAATACGGAAACAAAGGCCTCCTAAATAATATATATTTCATCGTTTCCAACGATTAACAGCAAATAGCCATCTACAAAAGGTGATATTAATTTCATTGCAACTTCTGATGTCATAACGATGTTTATATATACAACTCATTAAACTCATATACAAAACGATTTTCATCAAGTAGATAAACGTATGTTAACAATTATCGTCACATTATATACGCAAGTAATAAAATATCAATTATCGATTAAAGAGATCAGAATCATCAGATAAATTTTCTTCAAAAATTCTATGATACCCTTGAATGATATGATTGGAATAAGTACTCTTATCACTAATCATACTACGCATTTACAACGCTTACTACTTGCACAAGTTACTATTATTGATACATTCTAGTGACTGTGCTGTATGGAGTATAACCTTATCCACATGAAAACTTAAAAAAAAATCTTAGATTTTGTTGCTGCTGTTTACATGACACGATCGCAACGACTTTAAAACCTCAACTCATCAGAATTCAAGCATGACGTCAGTGTCATTTTCAAATTCACACAGGTAATACGAAAGTCCTTGTGATCGTAATACAAAGTTTGTTAATCACTGTTTTTATTCTTTTGGGGGTGAGGGGAGGGGGGGGGGGGTCGTTGGTCACATTTTACGAAAGAGAGACATTTGCCAACATTAATGATAGTAAAGATAACTTTAGTAGAAGAATGCTCCGTACCAAGGTCTTGCAATCTTCTCATATATTGTTCCTCATTTTGTATACCTTAATGTGTATGAATAATGCAATTAAAAACAATATCACAAGCGTGACAAAACTGACAATATTGCGTCGAAGTTTTACATACTCCCCTCCCCCAAAAAAATCAGCAAAAAAGAAAGAAATTGACATATGTAATCATATTTAAGAACTAGTAAGTAATATGTAATAATCTAAAAGAACTAAATGTTATATTTATTTAAATGTTATTGCTCGCACACATTATATTTCTTAAGGAAGGGGTAGAGCCTAGTAGGTTTGCCCCCCTTTCGCCTCCTTTCAGAAGTTAACAACGTCCCATGTCATTCATAATGCGGACAGATTTAGCAGTCAGCATTCTCAATCGATTTCAAAATATTCTTCCTTCCTCGAGGACCCTCTTAAATATTGATATAATCTGTATCACCCTGTGGTACCGATGTTAACTCAATTTCTTGGTAATCAGTGCCTTCATTGCTGACTCGTTCATACAGATCCTGATAGGTATTTGCAGTTTCTGGCGATTGCGAATCATCATGTGTGCTCTTTTCACTCTCTCCTTTACCAGGTTGTCGTCTGTGTTATGATAACGTGGAACAACAATGAACTACAAGTGCATAGTTAGGCAAAACAAACATAGGCCTATGCCCGTATTCTACTAACATTTAAACCCGAAGCGGGGCTCATTATGTTGAAAACCATGATTAATAAAGGAGGTTTGTCTGAGGTCTAAGATTTAATTTATTAAACGTGATTATAGATAGATCCAGGATCGTTAAACTTGATTAGTAGTAAACATATACGGAGCATAACTTTCAGTCTGACTCCATGATTAGATCAGAGTAGACTCTCGCTATAGATAATGGCCATGTTAAAGGGATATTTGAGTTCTTGTTAAACTAAAGCTGATTACCCCGAGGACTATTAACAGATAACACAGTTATGATACACGTCATAATGTAAAATATAAATATACCCAATTACATGTATGATACTCTTTTCCACGAGGGCCCAACTACTTGTGTAGCCTGCTGCTTAATTTTCTAGAATGTTGTTTGTGATAGAAAAAGAGGAATTAGAATCCACATAGTGAGAATTTCTGTGAAAAGCACTTCAAACTTGACTGCTAGTATTCAGATGGGCATAAATACATTTCCACTGAATAATATGAAATTTATTTTGAAAACCAGTACAATTGCTCTACATATTAAGCATATTGAGGGTCGTCGGAAAATTTTGGCATTGACATGCATTTGAAAACTGATGAGAACCAAACATTTTCATACCTTCTGAAAAAACCCACAATCAGGATGATACAGATAACACAGATAAGAAGAATAACAATTGATGGGATGAGAGCAGTAACAAGTAGAGCTCTAAGAGAATATCTAGACTCATCACCTAGAAAATACAAGATAATGGAAACAACAAACAAGTGAATATTCGAAAGGATACATCAGAACATTTAGAAGAGAATTATGTTAAATCATAAATATTGCATAAAGAACAAAAATATGACAACCTTACCATCAAGCAGTACTGGAAATTATTATGAACGACAACAAAATAACTGAAAAGAAAAACTATTATATCAGATTACCTAGAGCTTCTAACGGTTTTGTGGTAGACCATTCACTAAACCAACACCATTGACCGTTACCCCGAAGGTAAATACTTTTGAAGGTTTGTTACCACCGAAGGCTTATACTTCTCAAAGTTTGTTACCTCGAAGGTGCATAATTCCAAAGGTTCGTTACCCCGAAGGTTCGTATTTCCGAAGGTTCATTACCCCGAAGATTCGTTACCCCGAAGGTTCATATTTCCGAAGGTTCGTTACCCCACAGGTGCATAATTCTGAAGGTTCGTTACCCCGAAGGTTCATATTTCCGAAGGTTCGTTACCCCGAAGATTCATATTTCTGAAGGTTCGTTACCCCGAAGGTTCGTATTTCTGAAGGTTCGTTACCCCGAAGGTTCATATTTCCGAAGGTTCGTTACTCCGAAGGTTCATATTCCCAAGGTTCGTTACCCCGAAGGTTTATATTTCCGAAGGTTCGTTACCCCTGGCCTGCTATAAAGTAAGAACCTATTATATATGTATGTCTGTATCATACCACAGCTATTCTAACGTAAACAAAATGCCTACAAAATGTCAATTTTAGGGCACGGTTGTATATTTCCAAATGAATATTTGTATGTACTCACCAAGAGACTCGTTCTGACCATTTCACATTTTGTATCAATAATTTCTTTTTTTTACCTGTCAATGGGGAAGTCATTAAAGGTGACCATTTACCGTATCCAGCTCCATTCAAAACTCGGACCTGAAGAAAAGAGGGATGAAAAGGGGATAAAATTTGAAAAATGTATTTAAATTAATATCCACTATTCCTGTTATCTGGAATATATTAACGTCAAAATAGCTATCACTTTAATAACGTAAACCAACATATCACCAAACTGTCTACAAGAAGACCTGTACTCTCATTGACAATACATAACATGTATGGCCTTCTTTATACAGCCAGTAAACAATAATTGATTACAAGAAATGGTACTACCACAAACAAGTTGAGTTTGCCTATTTCATACAATTGCATACAATTTAATCAGTTATAATAACAATGACTTGTTTTTTAATTTCAAGGCAATCATTTTAGGTTGTCCATGGCCCTCCAAAGTCAAGTACTACTTTTATTATTACTTTCTCCAAATTCCTTTACATTGAGACAGCACGCAAGAACTTTACCTCAATTTCAAATTCACTGTCTCCTGTCACTCCGTCGGTAATCTCATACTTGTTACCCATAACATCAACAATTACTGGATCAAGTGGTTCTGGTTTTGTCTGGGTGTATCTTAGTTGGTATCCCTGTACATCTCCATTGAGGTGAGCAGGGCTAGCAGCATCCCAGCGCACAGTTACAGTTTCAGAGGTCGCTTCAACACTTACAGTGGGCGCAGGGGCAACTACAAATACGAAGAAAAAAAAACATTGAAAAGAAGTATGGAAATTATCTGATGAAAGCACATGCTCGAAAGGCATAAAATCCTAAATCTAATTACTGGATTTGTGGAAGCTTAAATTTTGTTGTATTTCGTTTCATAGTTTGAAATAAATCGATGTAATGCAATTCAAAAGCTATTTAAAAAAAAAAAATTTGATTTGAGGAAAAGAAAAATGCAAGAGAGTTGTCATATATATTGTTATGTGAGTGATATATCTCTCACTTCTCATCCTCATGGGTTTGAGATTGTTTACGAAAAAGAGTCAAAATATAATTTTCTATAATGTTTTCTAAACCAGAAATTATAGTCGCATGGCCATGTTCCTAAACGTTTCCCCTTTCAAACTCATCTACTCATTTGTTGAATCATTGTTTTTGTATTTCTACTTAAGATTTCCAAACACTCAAGCTCAAGTTTCCCCTTCGAGTTCATGCAAGACTACAAGAACATAGACATAACAAACAACATAATTATAGTGATCTAAATGTAAGATCTTACAAAACCTTAACATTTCTAGAAAGATACATGTTTGGTTGCGCCTTTTTAAGTTTCATAATGTTTAGAAATGATCTCATTTAACCTTTAAAATATGTTAATAGACATGCATACCGTGTGAGTCAAAAAAAAGTTTACACCTAGAAAATTGCTAGTTATTTTAAAAATCTTCTATGAACAGTAAATTAGTATACATCATATGAAAGAGTGCTTTATCCCAAATATTTTGGTGCCAATTTTGTTTGGTATGTGTTCACGCTTAGATAAACAGGAGGCATTGTTTGCGAGAGTGCAAAACTCGACTTGCGCCAACTTAAGTGATGCCTACAGTATGTATTATGTAAGGATGAGCGGAGTGAGAGAATGAATTAAATGTATCAAATGAAATGCATTGCATATGCATTTTGCCTCAACAAAGTCACACGTACACACACACGCGCGCGCACACACGTTCGTTGATATTTGATATTTGATATGTGTGGCATGGTCAAATTATTAATATAAGGAAATTAAGGATGTTATTTGGATCTGCAAAGACCGAAATAATACCCAAATCCCAATTGTTTGATTCGAATATCACATAAGCAACTTTGGCGCAAGTCGATTTTTGCACTTTCGCAAACAATGCCTCCTGTTCATCCAAGCGTGAACACATACCACACAAACATGATACCAAATGATTTGGGATAAAACACTCTTTCATAAGATGTATACTAATTTACTGTTCATTGATGATTTTAAATATAATTAGCAATTTTATAGGTGTAAACTTGTTTTTGACTCACACTGTATATACCTCCTTCAGTATCATTACATTTGGAAAATTATTCATGCATGTAGTTTCATTCTACTACTTCACATACAAGCATTCTCATTTCATCACTAATACAAATTACGCTGTTTTTCCTCTTACGCATTTCCTCTGTGATCTGTGTAAAGCCCTCTCCTCTTGGCGTCTCAGAGTCTTTATTGTAGACTACAACCTGGATGAGATACTGGGAGTACGGTTCAAGGGTCAGGGTGTGTTCAGTCGTGGAGGTGTCAAACGGAATATCGATGGAGTTCTCAATGGGGTCAGCCGCCCTCTTTGAGATCCCAGACTGGATGTCATACCGAGTGAAGTAGATGCGGATTCCTCCCACTCCACTGACACAGTTAAAAGCATTGGATGGAGGATTCTACGAGATAAAAACATACAAAAGCCTTACTAAAAAAATAAAATATTGTATCTCATAGTTTTTAGTTTAATTGTTACATAAATAATATAATATTTCCCATGGAAGGAAGCATCATGGTTTATCCACTTCTCTTTCAGGAAGACAAAATAAATATAGCTGTATCCTGATCACTACATTCCGGAGTACTGAATTTTCTGTTGCACGGATTTGGAAGGTGAAAATCTCAAAACTGTTTATAATATTCCGCTTTTATATAGCGTCCAATACATTGATACAACGATGTGTCTATAAGCGCCTCACATAATCCCCAGTCATCGGATTCAGGCTTACCAGCACACAATGTTTGCACGTTCTCCCCCGCACGAGGAGCATTAAAAGGTCTAAAATATGTAAAAAAAAAAAATCATAATTGACAAATTTCCTAAGGGTATGTTGGCAATAGATTTATTATTATACAAAATAGAGTCCTTTAATATCTGAATTTTGCAACGGGCAGTTTTTTTATTCACCACAAATTTTATAATAATAATAATAGTTAGCTCTTATATAGCGCATTTAATTACCGAAGGTAATACCAATGCGCTTTACAAATGTAGAAGACAATAGAAATAAAGACATATATAGAAATAATTACATATAATTATAATCAAAACTTACAACTTATACACACGTTCATAAACTCTTTTTGCTCTTTTACAGAAAATGTTCGAGATAACTTTTCTGAGGGCTTCAAAATCACTGTTGGGTGATTGAAATCAGTGAATCGCTTGACTGATATACTTATCATATTTGACAAAACCATAGTGCTTATATACACCAGGTTCTCGTTAGGTTTTCAATTTTAGTGTTCCCAGCTTTCAAGGAATTCCTTTCTACCTGGTTTAATTTGACACCTTGGTCGAGAATGGCGAATGTAGATAAATGTCTTGCCGGAGCTTGAACCAACAACCTTCACATTTCTAGTCAAAATATCAAAATACTCGTGCTCAACACATCTGGAATAAGAATTAGCTTACCTCCCAAGATACCAATATTTCTCCAGGTCTAGTCCCCTTAGTGACGTACACGGATGACGGTCCTCGACTAGGAGCTTCATACACAATACAAATAAGATCCAAGTATTTATTATATTAAAACATTTTAAATTCTTTATCTAGGTTTTTTTTGCACTAGACAATATTTAATACAATACATTGCCATGAAGTTTAGAGGTAAATTAGAGGTAAGAGGTACATTTTCATCATGGTTTGGCTTTCAATTGTTTGTCAATACAAAAATAGTATTTTATTGACAACTTGACAAGTCATGAGCCTGTTTTAAATTCAAGAAAATATCACAAATTATTCTAGTTTTTTGTCAACATTTTTGGCAGTTAAAACTGTCTAAATTATTATTTCTTTGTAAAAACCTGCCAATTAATGGTACTGAAATTTGTAATGCACTACTGTGCTTTAACCAACCTGTGAAAGATGAATCAAGTTGATATTGTTTTGATACCATCATCTTGATATACTAGGCATATAAGTATGAAACTAGATGTTTAAATGCAATTTAACAAATACACTGATATTGAAAACACATAAATGATTCCTGGTGTTTTTCTTTCCTAAGAATTAAATTCAATAATCTTATTATTTGTGAATTTTCTTTTTAATTAACTTGTTGATGCATACATAATCAGACAAATAATTTCTTGATAAATTTGTAGTTGATATTCTTTTCAGTTTAGATAAATGAAAAAAGGGTGCAAACATGAATGGATCAATTGTCAAGGAAAGATGCAGTGTAGTTTTAAGTCACAATGTAAAATCACATTGGATATACCTTACTAAAGAAAGCTGAACATGTGCAGAAAATGTTAAAAATCTGAGATCATATTAAGCATTAAGAACTTACGTGAACATTGGGTGGTCCCTTCTACCTCCATTCGGCTTCCACTGCCTCCTACTCCGGGTCTAAATGCTGATACACAAAACATGTAGGCCGTATATGGACTTAGACCAGTCACTGTTTCAGATGGTGCTAGGCGGTCATACCTCCTAACCTCTTGCTCTTCTTCTCGTGAGTTGTTCAGCATGTAGTAGACACGGTACCCGGTGAGAGGAGGATCACCTATATCTGTTGATGCATCCCAGGCATCCCACATCAGAGTAATTGAGTCATTGGTTGCTCCGCTCACGACGGGTGCACTAGGGAGTTCTGGCTGGGCTACAGTGAGATAAAGAAAACAAATTATACAATGATCCAGTGAAGATTGAGAAAAACGGAGCATTTCTGAAGTCAAACGATTATTTCAAATTGTGTCAGACAAATAGCAGAGTTTGGGGCAAATATTTATGTATTTCTCCTGTTTTCCAACAAGAATAAGGCTTTCTTTAGTCACAAATATCTGGAAACAGCCTACAACGAGCTTATAATACAGAAAGTTTTTTTATGTCGGACCTCTGAAACCAGTATTGAAATTAACCCAATGTATACTGCAACCAGCTGGTCCCTGTGTTAAGTGTAAGGGAATGGGAAAATACAGAAGTCAAAGGATTAAAATAATCATCTTACACAAGCATCATAGTTTGTAGTAATGAGTTCTGGTAACGAGGTACATAACTAAAATCAGTGAACTAAACAAAACTTACTTTTATTATCACATTTCTTTTATAAAGGTGTCGGTCTGCCAATGACAGTATCATGAGGAACATACATATAAATGATGGTGCATGGGGGGGGGGGGGGATCCCTGATAATTGTTTTGTATTTGATCATTAAAACATAGTAATGTGTTTGTATATTACAAAACTACATCCATCCACTTACTAAATTCCCCATCGGTAGTCATAGTGTCACTAAAGAAGTTGTTCACATCAGAGAGAGAGCAGACAAACAATTCTCCAACTTTCACATCACGCACGAGAAATAGAAACTTTTCATTCGGGGGGACTCCATTTCCACTTTGTAATATGTTTTCTTGTGTATAATTTCCACTGCCAAATTTCCTGTAGAGATTGACCACTGGAGGCGTGGAGATGAGATTTCCACCTTCCAGGCTACAGACAAAATTGGCGTACTGTCCCTTGTTGGTCTTTCCACCACTAACTGTAAAAGCTACCAAATGAAAATGAAAGATAGTTAAACTAACATAGTTATGCACGATAATGTTTTCAGGAGATCGATATTCATGTAATTACCTCCCCATGCAGCAGGTCCGTGTAGATCCCTTCTAAACTACCAATTTAAACAATTATACATAATAATCCGTTTTTTTATATAGCGCTCAATACACCGATCCAACGATGTGCCTAAGCGCTTTACAGATATATTATTACCCCGGTCATCGGATTCAGGCTTACCCGCACACAATGTGTGCACATTTTCCACTCCCTGGGGAGAATTCCAGCCAGTCGCCATTTTACAAGCGCACACTTGCTCGTCCAACCACATGAACGTTCGCATCCTACCGGGTACCCATTTAACACCTGGGTGGAGAGTAGCAAGTGCAGGTAAATATCTTGCCAAAGGATATTAGTTCCGTGTCGGGATTCGAACCCTCGACCTTCGCATACACAGTCAAGCGCCTTAAACCACTCGACCACGACACTCCCAGTCTATACAGTTAGACTAATTTTTTTTCTTCTATTTATCCTCTTTCGAGGGACTTTATTTGTTCATATCATAAAATAACAGCTATTTACAACAGTGTTTAAATACAGAATTCATGCAGTTGTAACATATCATACATAGTACAGAACATGAAACTAATGTGACATAATCACTAACTAAAATAATGAAAACATTTTTGTAATTTTTGTAACTTCGTTTGTATCGAATTTCTTTTGATTACATTTCATATTGAGATAGGTGCGAATTTCCACCTTTAATTCTTTTATCCAATATACAGCATGTTTCCTGTGCTTTTCACTTCCAAAACATTCTCTAATATAGTTTCTATAGATAATAAACTGAGCGAAGTTTAAAATAAGATTGACAAGATTCATTTCTCTTCTCTCTATCTCATGACCTATTAAAAGAATTTCTTCGTTCAAAAGGATTTTAAAATTAAACAAAGTATCAATTAATTTGGATACAATCTTCCAAAAAAGCGAAACCTTCTTGCAAGCCAGGAGAAGGTGGTTAGTTGTGTCTGGAATCTTACATATATCACATAGATTATTATTTTTAATCTTCCATGAACATAAATTGTCTTTACTGGGCAATATTCTATGAAGATATTTAAAATTAAACTGCTTACAGTTAGACTAATACTTATGACCTACTATTAGCAGTTCCAGTCCAAGGCAGATTGTAGTTTTGTCTACAGTTTCAAACCTTGTAACATTTAATACGTCATATTTGTTTTTTAAAGTGAGACATATTAATCTTATTTTCCTCTACAAATAACAGATGCTAATTTCACTTGGAATTTAAATTGCTTCTGTTTATTTGCAATAAATTTGCAATGTATGCATGTTTCATTGAATGAATAAAAACTTTACTATATGGTTTGAACACAAACTGGTAATTGATCATGATGACAGACTTGTGCATATAGAGGAGGTATGTATGAAGAAGAAGCTCTGCTCAAGCTTTGTTCATTCTTTTTTCAACATAGTATGTATGTTTATTTGTGTTATTTTGAACGCCGAAGCATGCAATATTTGTATACCAGTAATATTGCAATTATACTTACGCTCACACTTAGGTCCATATCTACCAACCATGCATTCTGAAATATAAACAAAATTGAAATAAATTATCTGCAACCAAGCACAAAATATTAGGTGAGAGAATAGATTTACTGCATACTAAACACAAACTATGTTATCTGTCTTTTAAGGTGAGCAAGTCACTTCATCACACTGCCATTGATGCTCCCACACTCCTCAGCTTCAAACGACAACTATCCAACCTGGGTTTTTAAATGGGTCCCATGGGACCCCCTTAACCCTGCCACACCACACTATCTACGGGATCTTCATCACCACGATGGCGAGGTGTGGCCTTCAAGGTTTAAGGTATATACACACCTAAAACTCCCATTTTTATGTTCAGAAAAAATATACCTTTAATACTGTATGGATCAGTATATATATGTATTATATTACCACTATAACTCATAAATTGCAATACGTATTGATACTTTGATGATAACTGTATTTAATATCTTGCACATTTTTTTCGTTCCAATCATTGGTCGAAATGACGTTGTTATTGTAAACTTATATACAAACATGTCTTTTCTCCCTCTTCTCCTATTTCAAGCTTTATCTGGTCTGTCCTTTTAGTTTCCCTGTCTTTTTCATGTGTGCAATCGTATTCCTTCTTTATATATTGCTGGGTATAATAAAGTATTTTATCGGAACAATTATCCGTGAATTTTTTTCTTCTAAAATCTGTTGTAATTCAATTTGCTTCAGCCTCTGGCTGCTATTTTGAATGTTTGCGTTTTAATCAATAAACCAGTTCAAATCAAATCAAAGCAAAGTAATGCCAAGAACTAAAATACATATCTAGGTGTAAACATTGCACAAACATGTACACCAGACAACAAAACTAGCAAAACTATAATCAATACTTAAAGATAAAGTTCAGTTCTGGTCATGCGAATGCTGTGTGAAAGAATTATCGGTGTGGAATCGATCAGAAAAAGTGGATTATTAGTATCGGTGTGTACTACAAGGTTCTGGAATCCTCAAAATGATAAGAACATCGGCCCAGTCTTGGTAAAAGTAACAAGCACTGTTCACAGAAAGATGTATATGGAACTAGACAAACATAATTATGTGGCGTAAAAATGTGGTCCTCATATGAATATAAAGTCATTTGAAGAGTCATGCTTTGCAGGGAACATTTTGTCTCTGATGTTCTTCGATATATCCACACTTGCATAATAACAATGAAAACAGTCACAAATTATTGTTCACCTCTCCCCAGAACTCAAGCTTCTCTTTAAGTTGGCAACATTGATATATTGTTAGACTGACCTTGGCAGTTGGTCCCTGTCCATCCTGGTTCACATTTAGTAGAGCTTCCTGTACAGACTCCAGTAAATCGATCACACTCTCCTGATACACAGTGACATGTCTCCGTACAGCTGGCTCCAAACTCACCTTGATCACATTCTAATAAGTGTTTGTTATAAGAGAAAACAATTTTTTAAGAAACACATTAAAGTAAACCCCTGCTGTGTTGTTACATTTTTTGTTTACATGTAAATATCTGTTGTGCAGTTTTGTAGAGCATTATCAAATACTTAGCTATGGACCAATATGTCAAAATGTGTACATGGGGTTCATCTACAGACTAAAAAACATTTAATCTGGACCCCCTTCTAAAAAAATTAGTGTAGAGCCCTGTTTAATATATACGTATATACTGCAATCATTTATATTTTCTGATGTGTTGGTGTTTGTACTTAGCGGTACAAGCGTTAGCCTTTATTTCATGATCAAAATAGATAGTGGTACAAATAGATCATACATGATCAGACATATATCGCAAATAGCATACATGGCCAAGGGCAACAGATTCGCCAAAGCAGGGCATAACATATAAACATAAAACATATAGTATCATACATATTTCAGTGAGATAAAATATATATATATATATATATATATATATATATAAAAGTGCGAGAAAGACTTCATGCATGGCTGATTGTCAACGAAACGGAGTTAAGTATTTTGTTAATTTCGTTGTTGTTACGGCAGTCAGCCAGTGAAAACGAATTAATACAATTATGGAAATGCAAGCACTACTTTAAACAAATAGAACTTTGTTATTCCTTGCTCAATTTTCCTGATTGAGGTATCATAGGAAAGGGCAGATACTCAACTTTCTGGAAATGTGATTTTCTCTCTGAAATTCAGATACCGTCCGCCAAATAACCTTTTTATTTCCTCTCTTCAAATTGATTTTAATCACTCATGCGTGAAATATGCATTATACGAGTAGTATCGAATGAAAGAGGAGGATCTAAGCTTTACAAATATGTGTCATTTATCAATTATAATTACGATTAAGTTATGATAAAACATTGATAATTCTCGGTTTCGTTTTTTCTGGGACGCACTGTATATATATATGAGGTAATTAACATTTCAGAAATATTAATCATAGGTGTTTTATTGTTATTTAATTTTATCCTATGAAAACAATGTGGTAATTAACGTGGAGTATATTGATGACCAAGGGCGGTAGACTAGAGTCAGTGAGTGAGAGAGAGAGAGAGAGAGAGAGATGACTTGCTTTCGATAAGTAAGAAAGTTCTGGGAAGGAAGTAAAGAGGGAAGATGGGTAAAGCGAAAGAGAGGAGGGAAGAATAAATGGAAAAAGGTATTTGAAGAGGACAGCAGTATAGTCCACCTTGACTGGTAATGATTAGAGTCATAGAAAAATGAGCTATAAATAGTTACACATTCATATTTGATGTTTGTGTGCTAATTTCCATTTGTGCCAAATGAGTGAAGATTCAATGTTCCATGACAATAACCCAATTGACAGTATAACTTCACTTCTTTCTATTGTTTACATACCTGTAGTACAGTTCAATCCTTTGTATCCTGGTGTACATGAACATCCATAGGGATCGGGCACACAAACCTGAAGTCCACTACATGCTGTGCTATCATCTGAAAGCTCGTAGTCACATCTGTACTCGCAGTTACGACCATAGCGATTTCTACCGCATGCTAGATATAATGTTGTACACAGGGAAGATAAAGATTATTTCTAAAATTTTAAAATTTTAAATTACTAACAGCATTACAGGCAAACATTTAGATTTGGGTCAATTTACTTTCAATGAACCTACCTATTATATCACATTGCTTTCAAGAAAAGCCCATATAATCGTGATACGAGGTTGGTTTATGATTAGGGATATGAGATGATCTGTACTTAAAGTTACGACCAAAGCGATATAAACCACAAGCTGCATATTGGATTTGGATTTGTGTTACAAAAAAAATTCATTGTAGTTCAATTTATTTTCATCAAAGATATATGAAGATAAAAGTAATAGCGATTCATAGTGTTATAGTTCTTTTAATGGACAATAAAATGTAATTCAAAAGACACTACCTACCTCTAATGATAAATATCTCAAAGAAGTCCGAAGAAAAGTGTATTCCTATAAGGAACATGGTTTCATCAGTATATTAGGACTAAATTATGACAAAATGTGCTCGTGATTGGTCTTATGAGTCTTACTGGTCCGATTTCATGTCAAAGCCAAACCTAAGATCGAGGGGCCGCTTGCACTCAGCTGATCCGAGTACCCCCACCCTCTGCTCCATCGTTGGCTAAGTCGACACAAAGCCCAGTGTACCTAGATCGCATTGATACTGTCGTACAAAGAGCGGTTGCCGTGGCAATGGAACGCGAAAGACAAAAACTCAATAATGACATGGAGAAGCGTGAAAATAAATTGTGTGAATTACTTGATGAAAAGCTCGCTAGTCTCCAGAATTTGGAAATTCTATTGATAGCAAACTGCAGAAACTTCGTGACATTGAGAAATCAGTTTCTGATAATAAAACTGAAGTCAATGCTTTGTCAAATAGGCTTGACCACATCGAACAATACTCCCGCCGAAACAATATTCGCATTCTGGGAGTAAAGACCACTCCAGATGAAGACACAAACGAGATTGTTTGCAACGTAGCCCAACAGATTGGTATTACTCTCACCCCTTGTGACATCGATAGATCACATCGTCTTCGCAGACCAAACACCAACCCTCACGATGTCCAATCTCAAGGATCGTACGCCGGCGCAGCTCGAAACGTCAAGTTATCAACCCCGCCTATCATAGTAAAGTTCACTTCTTACAGGCCTAAACTAAAGATGATGAAAAATCGAAGAAAATTGAAAGGCACAGGTACAGTGATTGTCGAAGATTTGACTAAGAAGAATTCCAATCTTCTCTTCCAGACGTCGAAACACACAAACGTTAAGGCTTCCTGGACCATTGACGGACGCGTTTTCGCGTTGGTCAAAACAACAGGCGGTCATGAGATGAAAAAACTTATTACAGGTCTTCCCGATCTTAACTCTATCTGATATATGTGACTGATAAGCCATTTTTGGATTTGATCATTTACTTGATCTTTCCACTGATTGTTTTTATAGTAATTTTCTCGAATTTACCTTTTCCGGTGGAAATTCATTTTGCTGATATCATACATATTTTGTCAATGCTTTATGTTTTGTGTTTTTTTTTATTGTGTATACAGTTTTTTTGTTATGCCTGATCGTGATTTGTATCTTCGATTTCTCAAGACTTTAAATTGTAAATTCTTCCTTCCAACTTCTTAATTTCTCTCTCTCCCTTCCTTTTCTTCGTTTTTTCTCCTGTTATACTCCTAACTTTTTTCTTTTTTTTCTTCTACTGATACTGTACTACGATGTCATGTGTATACTGTAACTGTAATTGTAACCAATATTCTGTATGCCAGTGTTCATTTCCATGCTGTACTCATTCTTCATTTCCTTTTCAAGACTTGAATAATGATGAACTTTGTGCAATATTTGGTAGTAATACCATAAATACTCATACTGATATTAATAATTTAAACTTTTTATCTGGAAATGAAGATGAGTTTCATTTCAGTAGGTTTCTGAACTGTAAATATTATATTGATGAAGATTTTACGACTGAATTCAGTAACATTGACCATCATTTTAGTATTTTACATTTTAATTCCCGTAGTTTGAACAAAAACTTTAATGCTATATCCAATTTCATCTCTACTTTATGTATAGATTTCTCTGTTTATGGTTTCTCTGAAACTTGGATTAATGACAGTACGCCACTATTATTTAATGTGTCTGGTTATTCTTTTATACATTCTGATCGCCAAGAAGGAAAGGGTGGAGGTGTTGGTCTGTTGGTCGCTGACAATTTTGAATATGTAATACGCAATGATATATTTTACCCCTCATGCGATTATGAATCACTGTTTATTGAAATCAATTTGCCGAGACATAAGAATATTATTGTAGGTGTTATATATAGGAAACCTCAATCAAATATCAATGATTTCATCCCTGTCTTTGAAAATTGTTTACAGAAAACTAATACTGAACATAAACAGGTTTATATAATGGGCGACTTTAACATTGATCTTATGAAATATACTGGCAATGCTGTATGTAATTTCTTGAGCGCAATACATTCAAATTTTTTTATTCCTTTAATTGATAAGCCTTCAAGAATGACTGACAGATCAATATCCCTTATTGATAACATATTTACAAATAACTTTGATCTAAATGTTTCTTCTGGTTTGTTTTATAATGATATATCTGATCATTTCCCAATATTTCAAATAACACAAAAACAGTTTCCTATCTAAAACATTTCTGTATATAATACTCGTATTATCAATGATGTATCTCTTAATGTTATCAAAGAGGATTTGTTACGTAATGACTGGAATATTTTTAATTATACCGATGTAGTCGTAGCTTTTGAAAAGTTTTCGACAACTTTATCATTACTTTATAACAGAGCATTTGTAAAGAAAACTTTTAAATCTGTTCGTAAAAAGATTAGAAAACCGTGGATTACATTTGACTTGTATAAAAAGATAAGGAATAAAAATAAAGTATATAGAAGGTATTGTCATTCACCTACAGAAAATAACAAGAGGAAATACGTTCAATTACGGAACTACACTAATAAGTTATTAAAACTTGCACGTAAAGACTACTACAAGATGAAATTTTATGCAATAAAGGGAAATATGAAAAAAACATGGCAATTAATCAATGGTATCCTGGGTAAATCTCACAATGCCTTACCTAATTTCATAAATGTAAATGGGAAACAAATATCTAATTCTAAAGATATTGCCAATCATTTTAACCATTTTTTTGTAAATATTGGTCCATCTTTGAAAAATTCCTTATCCTTAGGCAATACTGACAAATTTGCCAAATTTTTACCAAAGCAAAATTCCAATTCTGTATATTTTAAAGCTGTATCTGAAAATGAAATTATTGATGTAGTAAAGAAATTGAATTGTACAAATAGTTGTGGCATTGATGAATTCAATCCTGATGTCATAAAGAATGTTACACCATTGTGTTATATTTTCAATTTATCGATTTCTACTGGAGTTGTTCCCTCTAGATTGAAAATTGCAAAAGTTGTACCTGTTCATAAAAAAAGTGATATTCATAATGTTGATAATTATAGGCCTATATCTATAGTTCCTTATTTTTCAAAAATCTTAGAAAGGCTCGTCTATAATCGTACATATAGCTATTTATGCACAAATTCTATTTTGAATGATAGTCAGTATGGTTTTTTAAAGCATGTGTCGACAGAAATGGCTGTTATTGATCTTCAAGATTATTTAATTAGTGTATTTAATAAAAAATTGCATGCTATTGGTGTTTTCTTAGATTTAAGCAAGGCATTTGATACAATTGATTTCTCTATATTATTATCCAAACTTGCCTGTTATGGGATAAGAGGTTTACCACTCCTCTGGTTCAAAAGTTATTTACATAATAGAACTCAATGTGTATCATTTAATGGTGTTTTATCTGATTATTCGGAAATCTCATGTGGTGTGCCCCAGGGGTCAATCCTGGGGCCCCTTCTGTTTTTACTTTATATTAATGACCTTCCATATTGTTCTGATAAATTGAAATTCATTCTTTTTGCTGATGACACCAATATCCTCTACACCTCAAATGACATTGGATCTTTATATAGCACGTTAAATATTGAATTGCGGAAAGTATCGAATTGGTTTAAATGCAATGAATTAATCTTGAATGCTGGAAAGTCAAATTTTATATATTTTCATTCCAAATATAAACCGGTTTCTACAGAGCTCCTCAATTCATATCAAATAAAAATGGATGATAATTTTCTTAATCGTGTTGCTAATACCAAGTTCTTGGGTATTTTTATTGACGAAAGCTTATCCTGGAAAACACATATATCCCATATTAATAAGATAATGTCCAGGAATACTGGTGTCATCAGCAAACTCCGCCATACTTTGCCTCAATCTGTTCTTCTTATGTTATACAATACACTTATATTACCGTTTCTTAGTTATTGCAACATTGTTTGGGCAAACACATACCCAACCAAACTGCATCGTTTATATATTCTACAAAAGAGGGTTGTAAGAAATATAACGCTATCTCATTATCAATCTCATTCAAGACCACTTTTTAAACAACTTAATATATTGAATGTATACCAGTTAAATGAATATTTGTGTGCTATACTTATATTTAAGAAGGAAAAAAGTCTGCTTCCTGAAAAGTTATCCGATATGTTTATAACAAACAGTACAATACATAACCATAATACTAGAAATAAGCAGAAATATCACCGATGGTGTGTTAATACAAATTTTGCATCATATTCTTGCAGACATCATGCACCTGAAATTTGGAACTTGCTTCCAACTAATATAACTTCAATCTCATTTTACAACAGTTTTAAACGTAATCTCAAAAGTTTCTTGATTGCGCATGACTCTCATTGAATGTATTTATCTAGCTTGTTACCCCTCTCTCTTTCACTCTCTCTCTCTTTCTTTCTTCTCCTTTGCTATCTTCTCACTTTTTCATCCTACCATGTTGTATATCATGTACTGGGTTTGTGCCGGTTGTTATGCAATTTCTGAATGATATTATCCGAAACTTTACTTGCTACTTGTTTTCTTACTATGTTTATTATATCTAATTTGATAGGAAGCTGTCCAGACAAAACCTTTTCTTGGTTTTTTTTTACAGCTGTGCCTTATTCTGTTTTGTATTAATTCATTTCACATGTATATACTATCCCAATTTATGTATTATATTGTACATGAAATTGTATGTTTTTACTTTGTAAAAATGTTTTTAAAGATGGAATTCAATAAACTGAACTGAACTGAACTGAATTTCTTTAAAGGTTATGAGGATAAGTTTTGTTTTGGTATTGAAGTATTGAGTATAAATATTATGGCAACTGCTCTTGCAAAATTAAAACAATCATAGAATAACGAATAAGATTTTACCCATTTCACATCCATCTCCCTGGAATCCTGGAGGACAGATGCATATCCCTGTTTGATCATGACAGATTCCTCCATTGTAACATGATGGACATATCTGGGTACATCCACTAGATTCATCATAGCGACCGGCAGGACATGCTGAAATTTAAACACCGATAACACGGTAAGATTTGATACCTTATTTCCTCGAACACTTTCTTTCATCGATTACTCTTGAAATAATACAAGAAGCAGAAAAAACTCTTAATTGAATCAATTCATGTATCACTATCATATATTACAACCTCCAACGTCTATTCAAGTTATGAAGAACATGCCTTCTAATGGCCCGGTCCCACTGGCCGACGGACACAAAACGTATGCATAAAGGACACAGCGGACGAGCAAAATTTCGGGGGTGGTTCCATCCGTTTTCATCCGCTCCAGAAATGGACAAAATTTGCGAAAATTTGCGAAAACAGAACGGAAAATAACGGACGTGGGTAGTATGTAACGGGGATGTTAAACGGATGTTCATCGGAAGCCTAGCGGATGAAAGCGGATGGAAGTGGATAACAGCTTTGAATACTTTATATACGAGATGCATACGCTTACATCCTTTCTATTTCCGTGCTACTAACGATGTGTAGACGTTCCATGTACCTTATCTTTCCTCCCTCTTTCCGTTTTCAGCTGCAGCGGATGTGAGTTGCGAGGATGCCCAGAGGATGCAGAGAGGATACAGCGGGCGTTTAACGGATGATAACGGACATAAAACGTTTGTTGCTCGTATTTGTCGCGGATTTACATTGTACACGGCGGAAGTTCATCCGTTCTAAAAGTTTTGTGCAGCTCAAGATTTTTTGCGCGGATGAAATCACAGTGGACGGATGCTCGATGGATAGAGCGTATGAAACACGTATGCAATGAGTACACAACGGATGCATAGCGTTTTCCAACGGATGGCAAGATTTTGTTACGTTTTACATCCTCTTTGCATCCGTAAGTGCAGTGGGACCGGGCCTTATGATGGCTACCATACTGTGCGCCCCTTAGACCCTCTGCGGGGGGGGGGGGGGGGTTACTATTTGGTTGGCGGGGATGGGGACTCCACTAACAAATAGGGAGGCTTCAGCCCCTCACCCACTTATAACTGCACCTTGAAATGATTTTTTTTCCTTCATAACAGGAGTCAATGGTGCACAAATAAAAGGTTTAGTTCTGGAAAAGGTGAGAGAAAAAAATTGTGAGCTTTTTTCGTTGTTTTTATGTTAGTGTGGAAGACTATAATACAAATTCTCATTATTGGGATGGCTCTAATATGCTCCATTACTCGAACTGTGCTAAATAACAGCCAAAGGTACTTGTAGACCACACACCAAGTACTTTTTCAAGGAAAAGAACGCCGAAGTTGTTCACTTAAATTTTGATTTATGCATATTGTGTTGAAAATTCAATTTGGTTTTTCAGCCATATTAGGATATTGTAAAGTAAGCAATCCCCAAACTGATCCTAGATACTGAAAGGTTATGGATATTTCGGAGGAAATTTTCTGTGCGGTCAAAATGTGACTTAGTAGACAACGTTGAACGCAGTGGCGGATCTAGGGGGCCTAGGGGCCCGACCCCCTGGCAAATAAGTAAAACAAAAAGGTGGTAACCACAATTTTATCTTTAAAAAAGAAAACAAAAAAGACGGCCCCCCCCCCACATCCCTGGCAAAAAAAAAGTAAACGACAAAGATGGTAACCACATTTTTTTTTATTTGCTCAAGGGAGGGGGGAGGGGAGTTTAAAATAAATTGTTAGTGCTCACTGCCCTCCCCCTATTGTTTAAAATCAAAGGGGATTACAGATTAGGTCTAGGTTACTACAGAAACTATACAATAACACGCATATTAATAAAAAAAAACATATTATGTTGAAACATAAAATATACATACAAATCATTTTTTGATAGATTGGAAAAATAAGTAAATAAGTTGGAAATTATTCTGAGGGGAGCACGTGGTAATAACATATATAGCCTCGCATTGCTTTCCCATACCCAGATAATAGTACAATGGCCCAATTTGCTAATTACCTCTAACGATCAGTCTAAGAAGTCCAGCTCTTGCCAGTCCCCTCTCACTTTCCAAATGTAGCTCATAAACACCACCATGTGAGGTATCTACCTCTCCTATGATTGTGTAGACAGTCAATTCCGTAAAGATCGTTCCAACAGAAATAGTTTCAGTCATATCAGTTGTACCATTAAACCTCCAGTTCATGAGTATCACACTAGGAGTAATCTCAGTAAAATCAACCGTGACGTTCACATCCCCCTTGTTGACAGTCTTCGAAAACCTGCCACTTGTTGGCACAAACCTAGCTGAAAACGAAATGAGCGAATTATCATGACCATGACTGTGATATGATAATATAGAAGAAGAAGAATAAAAAGTAGAATTGAAAAGAATACGATAAAATACAACATAATACCACAGTCACACCGACAAGGGCGACACCAGATCAACAACAGACCGATACATTACATTACATTACCCTAAATGGTCAATAATCGGTCGGTTTGGAGTCGGTGTGGAGTTGGTTTGATAATGTGACTATCAGGATACAGACAATTGTGTTCAATGTTCCTACAATATCAAGCCATTCGTAAATTAGCTTTAGTTTCATATAAAGACAATTATATAGATATAATGTTATTAACCCCTTGCAGAAAGTTCGCTGTTAAAAGTGAAAACAGAAAAAAATATTTGAAATTTATAACCATCGCAGCAGACACGCTTCCTTTTTTCAACTTTTATCAGTGAACAAAGGTTGTCTACCGGGGGACATGAATAAATTGGTTCCTATAATAATGATGGTAAAGACGTCTGCTCTATCTCTAAAAGGGAAACGTGGATTCTTTAAAAAATAAATTTGTACACAAAAATTGTAGTCTACAAATTTGCTCAAACAATCACAAAGCATACATATCTTTATTAATCAGTCTATATCATACTGTTTCAAAGTCAATAACTATAAGCATGCTTCAATATGTTAAACAATAAGCATGCAGGACTTTGTAAGATATAAAATTGGACCAAAAAAAAAAATGGTAGCTACAATCGCGAGGCTTCTCTTATCAAGTACAGTCTGAATACGATGAACGATTATTTTTAATTACCATCAGATCTCAAGAAGAGTGTCGGTACAACAGAGCGTTCTCCATCCAGGGATGCAGCACAGTAGAAGGCACCATATGACATGTGATCATTTGTCTCAAGATTTTTTCGGTAGGATTGAGTTGGTGGATTACCAGCATCAAAAGCAACACTGGGCGGTGGATCAGCATTAGCTGCATTAACTGGTGGGAGCCTATCATTGTATAGATAGACATACCTCCCGTTAGACACAGCAGCAGTCAAAGAAGGAGAACTCCTGTAGCACTCAAAGTAAGGGCTACCAGTCTCTGTGCTTGTATATCCTCTACTAGTGGTAGATATATAAACAGATGCCGATGCTGAAAATCAAACAGATGAACAACTGTGGAAATAATTCGATATTGATCAAGGAAGGAATGAAAAAGATCAGATCGTATACGCAGCATCTAGATCTGAGAGCTCAAATCTACCAAATTCCTTAATTTTCCGGTATGACGTTTATGTACATTAAATCAAAAAGGAAAATGGTTTTAATGTAAAAGCTTATATGCGAAACAGCGTCCAAACGCTGTTGACACCACTATAATTTCAATCAATTATTATAAGGAGCCAATTTGAAACCCAGTTATTATCAGTGTTTGAAAACACTGCCGAAATGATAACCGTCATTCGCCATATAATAACATAATGCTAAATGTATGATTTCAGGGGAATACCGCGTTTTACAACTGTATTCGCTTACCTCCATGAACATGCAGCATTACAACACCAAACATTATCCTCATATAATCCATGTTTAATTTGATGATGAATTACCAACGTGACCAGTGATCAAAGTATCCATTAGAAAACCAAATGACTAAAAGCCGAATCACGTGTTGTAATATACGCAACTTGTTTCAATTGAGGAAGTACTGTGAATATTAACCACTGCCGCGAAGAAATAAAAACAATTCATAATTGAATACAGGGTGTCTAAAAAATTCTTGGCAATATCTCTAAAAACTACTTAAACAAACTTGCAAACCAAAGACATCGACTTGGATTCGGACTTGTGCTTGTGGACTTGGGGACTTGGCCCAAGTCAATGTTAATTACAGGATATAATTTATAATAATAATCGACACCTTTTTTGGCACAACGTACTACAAGTACAAACGCAGAGCAATTAATGCAGACGTTAGTCGCAGGCGCACTGCGGAGGCATTTCTAATGTTGTATTTGATATCAGCGGCGACACACGGTTTTTAAAAAGACCTTTAAAAGTAACAATAGTTGGAATTCACAACAAAGATTAGAAGATTTTAAAATAACATTGCCGACAAACTTTATTGAAAATGGTTGAGATTATTCGCAGATGTTTTTTTGTTTGTTGAGACACCCCATATGAAAAGGAAAATACTTCAATATGTTCGAGTTAAAACGGGAAGGCACAGGAAACGAGAAAAGTTTAATAAATTACAGTGTTTCTCTGTGGTTTGATGTCATTACTATATCATTATTACTGCTGTTCTCATTATTATCCTTATTATATTTATAATCATTATTGTTATTGTAATTCTTATCATGATTGTGAGATTAAGGGGAGGAGGAAGTTATCATTACATCAACATTTACATAATAAATTGATCTAAGCATTTCCACTATATTCCACAGGTTTCTTCATACTATATCAGAAATAAATTTGAAACGACTTCACAGTTGATTAGATTTTTAATTTTTTTTTCTGCATTTTTCCAAATATGATATATAATATAATTGAATAACAAAGAACATATAAATGTATACAACATATACAAACAATAATTTCTTCATGTCAAAATGTTTTTTTACATAATATATGTACATATAATAACGAAATTTAATATTTCCATCACATATTAAAATGAAAAAGTGTTTAAACGATCTTTGTGTATGAGTTGGTGAGTGCGTTGTGCAAGTGTATATATTGTGTATGTGTGTGTGTGTGTGTGTGTGTGTATGTGCGCGTGAGTGTGTGTGTTTGTATGGGTGTGTAACGTATAGTCGAAGTGCACGTAGCTCTTTCTGGTATAGTGGAGTGGAAACAAATATAGCATTTTCAATAAAGGAAACCAAGAGTACGAAATAGAATACAAAATTTGCAAAAATGAGTTGCAATGTGACCAAAAAAGTTTCCTTCAGGAAGGCCACATACATATCTTGGGCATGAGGAAGTGAATCGGGATTATATTTGTTATGGGCTTCATGAATTCATGGCGGAAATGAACCTCCATCCAGGATCCAGTGAGTTACAAACTCGACCTCTTCCTCTTAGTGATCCCTTATCCACAACACCACTATTGCGTCACTACTACAACTATATAGTTCGCTTCTATTGTAAATACTTTGTGATGTCAACGACTTTACAAAACATTCAGATATACCACTTTTATGTTTACGTGGTACATGATGATGATTATTTGTATAGTCCGATGTGGTCAAGTTTGCCCGCAACATCTTCCCTTTAGTAACTTGTGTATTTTCATTTTGTCATTATCATTTATTTCTCTTACTGCCCACATTGGTGGTATATCTGATCCAAGCCCAATATTACGTATCTGTCTCACAAAGCAGAATGAATAGAAGGTCGTTTGATGGAATCGACCATGTTGTTCAAACTTTCTGTCAAAATCATTCATACATAGAGGCTGTTTAAAACAACTCTATGATGCCATGAAGTAATTTGGAAAAAGTAATAGTATCATAATATTAGCATCGTTAATGAAGTTGCCACAAAAGTCAAACATGCAGTCCTTTCCAAAGTAAACAGAAACAGCATGTGGCCCCAAGAATGGTATATGGAAATTATTAATGTTGCTGAGAACGTAACGCGATTCTCAGTCATAAAAAAAAGAAAACGAACATACTTCAGCTGCTATTTTGTAGATGTAGTACTTGGAGAGGCCAGTAGTTGAACAGGAGTCTCTTATTTGGGCCTACAGGAATGTCAAAACCAGATAGATCGTTGCCGGCTGTTGATGTGTGAATGGGAATTGCACATACTTATTATTAGTAGCTGATTAGGACATATGAATTTGTGATCTTGCAGAAACGCTTATAAATTCATTATTTGATTCTTAAAACACCTCATTCAAATTCGCAGTTGTTCATGTGATATATGCATAATTGACAAAGGGAGAATAAAAACAAACAAACAGTGAGCCAAGGCGTATTTCATAAAACTATATTTATCTCCACAGTGAGTAGTGTAACGGACCAGCCCGTTACAGGTAGTTATCTTGCAGAAAACGTAGAGGGCAGTAAGCTTTTGGGGCGTAAGGGCTCAGAGCGCGATTACGGACGCACCATGCGTAAAGCAGCTCTCAGAGCTCTCAGAGCGTCTCAGAGGTCTATGCTACTAGGGACTTTTAGAATGAGTGAACGAGAACACGACGAACGCCGACTGATCATGCGTGTCAACGTACTTAACTGCCCATGTTGGCTACAATTAGAAATCTTTTAGATTGCACTCGACGATATGCATGCAGGAAGTAACACAATAAATATCACGGACAAAGAAAGAGGACATTCCTCATTCTACCCTCAACAAAAGAACATCCCTTCACTGCTAATATGTAAATATGTGTAGAACAGGTGCATGTGACACCTGGGCCCCGTCTTACAAAGAGTTGATATCAATCGTAACTTATTTGCGATTGATATCAATCGTAACTATGTACATAAGAGATAGGAGACTGCAAACTTGCGATTGATTGGAGGACTTACGATTGATTTGGATCGATCGTAACTCTTTGTAAGACGGGGCCCAGTTATACACATTTCAGCATGTAAAGGCGCTTTATAAATGTCAATATGTATGTATGTATTGCATGTACTAGATTTAGGAAAATCAAGGTTGACGCATTCTCGATCGCCGACTGAGACCACGTGACGCAGGCGCAGTGCCTTAAAATGACGTCACACGTTGCAGTCAAAGCTCTTGACGTGCATTTCTAAAAGTCCCTACTGTCGTAGCGGACGGACACGGTGATTGAGCAAGCACAGTCTGCACGTTATCTGAATGGCGACTGATTCTAGCTAGATTCTAGGTAGAAAGAGCGGACACTCAGAGAACGAGCCGCGGAATCTTCCCGGGGGAAGTGGCGGGAATTTCAAACGACCATTTTTGCCACGTGGACCTCAAGAGGCTGCCCTTCAACGTCAGGGACCGTCAGGGACCGTGAATTTTTCGAGTCGATCTGGATTCTGGTATCCTTTTAATTACTTGCACCTGGGGGTAAGACCTGGCCAAACCGGCGTTTTTCCTTGCACTTTTCATTCCACATATTAACAGATAATAATTAACCAACAGAATAATATCATTGGCCTCTAGAGCTAAATGCTATTGCTAGGCTAGTTTACAATGGCGGAATCCTCGGGAGAGGAGGCATACGAAACTTTTGCCACGGCTATTTGTAGCCAAAGCACCCAGTCAGGATCGGGACCACTGTCTCCAATACTTAAGATAGATAACTCAAGGGGTAGGCATACTAGAAGTCCCGAGAAAAGAACGGGAAATGAAACAGTGATGGATATAGGAGGGGGAGGAGAAACAACGGATGATGAGGGCGGGAGTTGGCAGACTTTCATATCTCATAGAGGAAGAACGAGTAGGAATACTGAGAGAGATAAAAAGAGACCAAGAACAAGCAGCACCTTTGTGGAATCTCCTAAAGAAAAGGGGAAAATACTGAGTACTAAAGAAATAGATCTAACTGTAATAGTTGAAGGAGTAAACAACAATATAGCACAAATTACTCCAACAAAAATGGCGAAATTTTTACATCAAGAAATAGGACAAGTCCAAGTAGAAAGAAAAAGGAAAAGTTTGAAAATTATATGTAAAGATGCCAAACAAGTAGCGAAACTGAAAAACGTTATAGATTTTGCAGGAAAGACAGTAAAGGTTACGCCATATAACCCAAACGAATACAAGAGAAAAGCAGTAATAAGAGTAGATCCTGAAGTTCAGGAAGAAGAGTTGTTGGAATGGTTAAAGAAGGATAAAGTAGTCTATGCAAAGAGATTCAAAAAGAGAATCAACGGTGAACTGAAAAACACTAGGTCAGTCTTACTGACATTTGAAAGAAAAGAAATACCAACAGAACTCATTTTTGCCTTTGAGAGGTACAAGATTTACGAATACGTGCCACAAGTACCACGTTGTTTTAAATGTCAACGTTTCGGGCATGTTGCTGATGACTGCCATTCTAAAGCACGATGTGTGCGGTGTGGAGGAGAACATGAATTCAAAGAATGTCAGAACAAAGAAACTCCTAAGTGTTGTCGATGCCTGCAAAACCACTCGGCGGCTTATCTAGGCTGCGTCAAGTACAAAGACGCTGTGAAGATACACGCTATTACGCAAAGCGAAAAAATCTCATATGCTACAGCAACCAAAAGATTTCACGAAACGAAGAATCCTGTTCAAACGCAGGCTAAACAAGTAGTCTTTAGAGAGGCAGAAAGAATTAGCAAGCCTTCACAAAGAAACGAAAGAGCAAAACCTCAAAACAATGAGAAAGTCCCGTCAGGGCAGGCTGAACAAGCAGTCTCCAGCGAGACAGAACGAAATAGCAAGCCGGCGCAAAGAAATGAAAGAGTTAAATTCAATGAGGGAAACCAGAATACGGATCGAGGTCATCGAGAGAAGACAGAAGAGAAAGATCCTCAAATAACAGTTAACAGTGTCGACTTTTTAGCGTTCATTGTATTTGTGATTAATAATATGGAAAAGGAAACATCAAATTCGAACAGGATCCGATTAGTCGTAGAAGCAGCACATTGCTGCCTGGGTGTACAAACCATAC